AAAAGATCCTCTGCCCCTCCCCACTGTAGCATTTTTAAGCAACATGGAGAATCTTTTTTTAATCTTTCCAAATTAAAACCAACTCCTTGCTGGTTTGGAACTTGTGCATGATTATAAAAGATCCCTTACAGATATGCAAAATCCAGCAGAAATTTGCAAGCCAAAGCAACTCGTGAAACATTATTCTTACACTATTTGTGATCTATGCACAAACGACATAGAGTAATGATTAGTGTTTGTTTAGATTTGCTACTTTGAAACTGAACATGTTTGTTCGACAACTAAGACCACCTAAAATTGTATGATATTTTAATGGTTTCAAGTAAGTAGGACAACATTTTTTCCTTTTCTCACAAGTAATAATGAACTTTTTCACATTACCATCCTTCACTTAGATGAAGACAATCTAAGGAGGTATAGTGTACTAAACAGGATAAATGAAGTGGTTTTTTTAGATTTACTGCATTCAGCTGCATATTAACTGGTCTAAACATCAAAATGTTCACTGATTTTAACTTAATAATGATCAAAAACAGAATTACAAGACTTACAATAAAATATATAAAATTTAACATAGCATTGTTCCAACTTTCTCCTCTTCATTCCCACGCTTCTTGAACAAAGAATAGTTTCTCTACCTTTAACTTCCGCTAGACTCACTTTACTCTCAGGCTTTAATCTACTTTGTGGTCAACAAGCAACACGTACTGAATATTGACACTCCTAAATCCTAGAGTTACTAAGATATCACAGTCTTTCAATTTCCTAACCCCACCGGACTTCCCAGCGCAGGTTTTCATGAAGCCAATCTAAAACTCGGCTGATAAAACGTACAATAAACAGAAAGGTGCACAAAAACCCTGACACAATGCTATCTACTGATCAAATAAGAGGTAAACGTGTCACAGAGTAGTTTTTGTGTGTTTTTACCGTGTACAGACTTGAAAAATAATAAAACAGGATTCAGCAATGACGACAAAAGCGCTGCCTTAGCATTCAAATTGCGTCCGAGGTAAACAGGAAGTCCGCCCCAAAACCAACCCGGAAGCAACGACCCCCAAACAAAGGTTCCACTTTGCCACTACACCGCTGTCATCTCAATATCAGGAAAACACTAAATGCAGTCAGAATAACATGCCAAAATGCAAACAAAATATTATTTGTTCATTTTTTGTTTTAAAAAAATAGTAACAACAACAACAATAACAACAACAACAACAATAATAATAATAATAATAATAATAATAATAATAATAATAATAATAATAATAATAATAATAGATTGCATATGAAAATATTTCAAAATTATAAAACAACCAAATTAACGTGGGGAAATATTTTAGGTGCACCATCATTAAATACACCATCATTAAATACACATGAAATATATGGATCAATGTCCCAGTTGTTATGAAACACGGCTCTAAACAGGTGGATCTTTAAGCTTTTTTTAAAGGAACGAAATGTTTAGACTGAAAGTTACAGATTTGTGGTGGATAGAAGCTGAATGCTGCTTCTCTATGTTTGGTTTTGGTTCTGGGGCTGCAGAACAGACCAGAACCAGAAGACCTGGGATATCTGGAAGGTTGATAAAATGATAATAGATCTCTAATGTATTTTGGTTTTAACCTGTCTAATTCTACACACTTGTGATGGTTTTATATCAAATAAATTCTGTTTCTGTTCGGACAATTATCCTCCTCGTGTAGAGACATCAAAAGTTGAAACTGACAGATCATTGAAGGCTCAGCTGATGCTAGGTATTACTGGAAGTCTTTGATTGTGTTAATGGCATACCACAGAGTCTTTTATCAGAGTATTACATATTTATGAGAACTGATTGCACGATAATGTGTTAAGGTGAAACTGTCAGGAAATCATCCTGCCCAGGAAAGAAAACAGGATGGACTTTTAGACATTAGAGAATGAACTCTGAGTGGTCAACTCGGCCTTATCCGTAAACCATTCCAGCAGTGACAAGCTAGTAGGATAACATAGTTAGATCTTTCAAAACGTTTCTTACATTATTTTTCACTGAAGGCTATTTTGGTGACCTGCTCCCATGCATCCAGTGTGTTATACAGAAAAAGTTGCAGCTTTCTCTTATTGCAAAGTGACATTCTATGTCTTCTTGTAGTTTATGCAACTACAGCTGCTGTGTGAAGGACTTAGAGTTTTGTAGAGAACATTAGTGAACAAACAGCATTAGACAAAGAACCACAGCAGAGATAACATTGCTTCACTGTGGAAAAGTTTAAAGCTTAGAGTTAAGTTGTTAAACAACATACCAAACTCTGAACAAATCACACAGCAAGGTTCAATCCAACATTCAAAAATAAAAGTACACTTAGTTAGTTTTTGTTTTTTAGAAGTGTTGAGTTATCCATTAGGTTTTACTTGAGAAATGCATGCACATTAACATTTTTTTCATCTACGACAAACATCAGATACGCAAGCAAAAGAAATACTTTAAAATATAGAAGAAAAACTTAAATACATATAATTTTGTTGTTGTGATTTCAGCTGTGTAGTTAAAACTCCTATTACAGCCTCCGAGAACCTGCTACGTGCTTCAGATTCTGGATATAACAACAGACACATGACCAAAGTCAAAGTAACACAAGAAAGCACGAAAAGGGCATGCTCTTTAGTTAATTTGACACTCCAGGAAAAAAAAAATAACTTGAACATATTACACAGAAGCATGAGATTATTTTAGCTGGGATCAAAGAGTTTTGTGAAACCTAAAAAGCTACAAAGGTCTGAGGGTTTCCAAAATGTTCCAACATCTCAGCATATCATTAGAGTCCATGAAGATCCTCCCATCCTTTTTTCTCTGTGCAGAAACATGGAATCAAAAGCCACAAACACAGACCAACACGCCGCTGCTGCTTGGCTTCTTTAAATCTGTTGGCCAGCAAGTCTGTCATTACAGGAGCAGAGCTCTGGGTGTGTCACACAGTGAAAACCAGGCCTGTAAAACATCGGTGGACCACTGACGAAGTCTCCGTGTGTGTCTCCACCTACTGCCAACTTCTTGCACTACAACAAAGGGCTTCTGAAACCGTTAAGGGAAATCTGAATACCACAAAGTCCAGAACAAAGCCTGGGACAACCGATACCCTGCTGCAGCTTACTACACATGAAGAGCATATTAAATACATACATTCAAAAATGCTTAATTTATCTTGAAAGGAAATGAATAAAATTCTGAACATTCTGAGGACCTTTACTGTAATTTTATATATATATATTTTATTTCCAAGTTTCTTGTTGGTTTTAAGTAAGCATGGTCTACATGAGTGATTTTGCAATAGCTCAAAATGTCTTCTCTTCCTATTTCTTTTTCCAGTTGCTATTCTCGAATGTTTCTATAAATTAGAAACCTATTTTCTTATTTTTTGTTATTTCCTGCCTAAGCAGTCGGGGTTATCTGTAATCATTTGAAGTGGTTGTTTTTCAGGCTTCCTAAAGCTCCTTCCAAGCTTTTCTCTTAACTCTGACTAATTTGTCAGTACCTGCTCATTTTCAGAGGAAAATTGTTCTTTTTTTGTTAGGCCACTTAACTATGACTCATGGTTGCATAAAAATGTTCTTAAAGACAACTGAGCAAAGAACCACTTTTAAGTTGCATCACCAGGCAGCTAAACACAGAAAAGTCATTGTCATTTCTTAAGATGCAAAGCATCAAAGATGACACAGTTTGACATACGCAAAGGGTGATTTAAGCCCAAAAAATCTGATCTCCCAGGAGATTAATTAGTTGAAAATCTTGAAGACATCGTACGTCAAGGCTTGAAAACGTTTTTTTTTTTTTTTACTGCAAGTCTTTCAGATCCGTCTAAATTGATTTTTCACCTATTTTTCTTTTTCTTTTCAGATTGCACTTTACATTGATTAGAAGTAATCAGTTACTTTCTATTTCCATGAGGTATACTTATTTTGTAACACAGGTTTATTTAACTCAATTTGGAGAGACTCCGATGGAGAAAGACAACGATTAAAAGAGTTTATTGACATGTGTGAATAAAAGTTCTTTGGCGCTCGGGCCCCGGCTGAGGACGTCGAACTGTGAATTGCAATAGCTTGGTTGACCATTCCCAATACTGATTAGGAATGTCATCCCCCGGGACCCGATACTGGTGGTGGAGGTTGGTGAAGGATGGGAGCCTGGAGAGCCGGGAGAGTGGAGGTGGAGAAGGGCCGGAGGTGGGTTGAGCGCAGCTGGAAAGCGGAAGACGACATGGATGGAGGTCCTTTTCAACGGGAGCTTGGTCGGTGATTGGCCGTGACGTGGCTTGGTCCAGCGATGATTGGTCGGTGACGATGAGCGAGACACGCCGACTGGATGATGCAGGTGGGGCTAGAGTCTTCCAGTTTGAATTTATGCCAAGGCTTCTTGTTAGCAGTTATAATTCTTCATAGGTCATTGAAGATCGATAATTAAGAAGTCTCTGACTTGGTAGCTGATGCAGATGGACATCTTCTTCTTTATGATGATCAAAACATGTCTTAAAGTAGGAAAAAAAAAACACTAGTACAACATGAATTATGTTTCATTCTTGTTACTTGGGTAAAAAAATCTGCTAGCCCATAGCAGAAAACAATCACCCCATGAAATGTCAAAACTGCAGATCTGTTTTAAAATAATGCAAACGCGCAAGATTTTTTAAAATGTTTTTCGATCGACTATGAAGTCCTTATTTTACAAAATTCTTACTATTTACCTCCTTTCACTGAAGTATTGCATGTTTAGTTTATTATTGAGCAGATAAAAATTAAAACGGGAGAGAAATTTATTTTTAAAATTGTATTAAAAACTTCAAAACAACGTATTTATGTGGCCCCCAATCACTTTCAAGTTGATAATTTTGGCACTCGTGGCAAAATATTTGAACAACTGGAAGTGTGACGTTAAGATTATGTTGACACAATAAAATATTAATTTTTATTCACCCAAAACAAGTTTATTGCAAGTTTTTAAAAGAAAGGAAAAATTGCATTAAAACAAGACTTTTATTAAAACATACTTCATTTTTTCTTAGAATAGCAACAGAAAAAGGTGTCAGATGTGATTTGAGGAGAATATTCTTCTTCTTAGGTTCAAAGGCAACACTCAGAAGTAAGCCTGATAGGCTAGGAGATATCCATCATTGTACATGTAGATCTGCCTGTCGACCGGGTTGTAGCTCAGACTAGCCACTCCTTTAGCGACTTTCTCCAGCGGCAGTTCCAGAGAGTTGTCCTCTTTTCCTGTCGCTGTGTCGAAGGCGTAGAATACTTCCTCTCTGTATTCATCTACGTAGCGGGTGGCGTACATCACACCACACACCATGAAAGCGTTAGTCGCTGCCTTCTTGAACAGCCTCGTCTCCCAGGTTTGCGACACGTTGATCGTCTTTGAGTTGTCATCCCAAAACAGCTTGCTCACTACCAGATTGCCATGGTTGCCAACAGTGGCATAGAGAGCCCACAGTCCGGTTTCATCAGCCTCAACATCCACGTCGCTATTCGAGCGGCATTCATAGTAGCAATATGGAAATTTGTTGTTGAAGCCCACACCTGTGCCAGGAAGGGTTACCCGCTTGACCTCATTGGTCTTCAGGTCGTAGCGGCAGATATCTGCAGAGCGGTAGCAGTGATAGTACAGACCGTCACCGTACAGCACAGCACTAGGACCCTCAATGGCGGTGGGAGCTGTGACGGAGGAGGAGAAAGTAGCGTCCCTGTGGTTGGCAGAACGCATGAAGTCTTTGTAGGTTTGGTAAAGGCGGACTATGTTTCCATAGATGTTGCTGCTGGTTAGGGTCTGAACCCAGTAGGTCTCTGTGTCCGACTCGCTGTCCATCTGCGCCTGTTTGCCCCATGATCCAGAGACGTGGTTTTTGTCATAGGGGTTGATTTTGGTCGTGACAGGTTCACTGATGTTGGTGATTAGGCCCTTCATGCAGTACCTGTTCTGGCCTGAAACGGGGGGGAAAGTGTCTTGAGTCCAGATTAAACTTTCAATATTTCATTGAGTGTATCATTAAAGAGTGGAATGATTATTATATTTTGCATAATACATATTATAGTACACTGATATTTTTTAGCTTTTACTTTTTGGTCACAACAACATGTTTCAAAAGAAATACATTTTAGCAACCAGGCAACCAGAGTGGATATAAAATGTAGTTTGGAAGTCATGATTTCAATGAAAAAGGCTCTAAAATCCAGCTGCTTCAAACCTATGTTTAAAATTAAACTCCCCCTTGTTCAACCATTGGACAGGATTAAGTGTTTGTTTTTGGAAAGCTGACTTGAATTTCATTTGCCACACGCAGCCCTAATTACTGCAAGAGAAACATGAAGTAGGCTAAAAGACCCCAAAAAGCAACTCATCAGGCTCCAATCTGAAGAAATTCAAAAGTGGATGAGAAACAAAATAATTAACTTAAATTAGTCCAGAAAAGGTTAAAAGGCTATTTATAAGGCTTTATAACTATAACGGACTGCAATAGCTTCCTGTAAAAGAAATTTCAATTAGACACAATATAAATTTATTCAAAACTATGTGGAAATTCAGATGTAAATGTAAAATTGGTATTACATAATGCAAATTATGTAAAATTAAAAAATCTACTTTCATTAAATAAAAAATAATAATAATGATCTGGAAAAGCTCTGATTAATTAGATCTTTGGTGTCACTGCAGACACACAGACCCACCTCTGAAGTCTTTGGGGATCGACTTGCAGGACTCGACGTTGTTCTTCAGGTAGCGAAGTTTCTCCTTGACTGTCTTCATGTTCACCGTGTCCGATGTTTGCATCTTTATCACATCTTTTCGCAATTTACCCACCTGAAAGACACAAATAATTTAAATAAATAACTCCTGAAGAACAGTCTACAATTTCTTGAACTTTGGTTATGAGTGATAGTTATGAGTAGTCAGTATTTAGTGTTTTGCTGGTTTTGGAGAATCATTGTTACGGAGGAGTTAAGCTAACTAGAACTAGAAAAAGCTAGTGAACGAATTTATTCACAATCTGTTTACTGTATATGGCATTTCCACATGTTTCTTATCTACTAAATATACAAGTTGCGTGCTAACAACATGGCCTTTAAAATTCATTCATTGTTATACTTTCTATATTTCGGGTATGCTATATCAATAATTACATTAACCATTACTTTTATTTCTAATAATCAAGACATTTCTAGAAAAATAAAAAATAGCATGAGGTAGCCACGAATGCATGAAGCTGAAAGTTTTTATGGAGTTATGACTTTACATTTAAACTCAAACATCATTTCATAATTTAATAGCCACCCCAGGCAAAAGCTGTGGTAGCAAACTCTTTAAATTGAATCTAAGTTAATGAGGTAAAGATTTAAGTGGTAGTTTCCAATAGTAGATTGGAGTCAGGAGAACTGTTGTCTGAGAGCAGGAGTCTGGAGACCTAACAAACCGCAACCTGTGAAGGGATTCAAAAGTGCTACATGATGAAGCCAAGCTTCCTGTAGCAGGGAAGAAATGCTTGTGAGTTTCACTTTAACTTTCTGTAAGCATTCAGAGCAAAGGCTGCAGTTTGGACCTGTATCGTTTCTCAGATTGCCACATGCGTTAGCGCTTCCATTTACCAAAAAAGCTATTGCTATGATGCTTTATAATAAATAACCATACAGTAATTCAACTATTCAACCTGTTTTGAACAGTTCAGTTGAAGATATCATCTGCATGTCAGTCTATAGTTAGTTCTCTCACACCGTGTTGTTTGGCGCTGAAGTCATTTCAAGCTAATGCTAAAGGTGAACCACCTTCATGTGGCTCAGAAACAAAGAATTAATCATACAGTAAAATAAATTTTCTTACCTGAGAAACGATATAATCACTCAAAATAAAACATTTAAATTCTCCAGTCACTTTTCTCAGTTAAACAAGCTTTAAATTCAGTGTTACTTAAATATTGCAACAACTCAAGAATGTGTTCATACATTTAAACTCCTGCAGGTAAGATACTGACCACTCATACTGATTCCAACCCCTCAAATACTTTATTATGATTCCAATCAATCCTAAACTGTGTTGTCTTGATTTTTACTGAGTTTCCTTTGAACCTCTTTGTGGAGTTTCTGTGACTGGTCGTTGTTTAGCTGGCCGTGCACAACGGTGATGTCCGTCTCCAGCTGGCTGAGCTCCTGGCCCAGCAGACGGATGGACAGCGCTGTGTACAGTCCGCGGTCATGCAGGTACTGGTACGGCTCAAGTCGTGCTGTCAGGTTTGAAATTTGAACCTGAATGTCAGGGAGACGCTGACTGGAGACCAACACCTGCAGGGAAGCACACACAAAAGCTCCAAAATGTCAAGATTGCAGGTTGAAGCAAAACTATCAATAAATTGTTTCCTATTTTTTGAGAATGGTTCGCATGGTTTTAACGCTCTGAAACAAATCAAGTCAGACAAGAAAACAAAATGAATTTATCATTCTGGTGTTTAAAATAAACTATATATCATGTGTAGGCAATTTGACAGCCAAAGATGTTAGTTTTAATAATTAGCTATAATCAAAACATTTAAATAAACGTGTGATTGATATGTTAAAATGTAAAGACAATTTTAATGAACAAGCAATTTTTTGTTTAATAATCAAAACAATTTTTTAATTATTATTATTGTTATTAAATTCATATAATTTCATCACATGGTTTAACTTCCCAACAATCAAAGTTTTGTGTTTTTCTTTTATTTCGAACAGACAAAAAGTGAAAACAAGAAAAAAAATAAAAAAAATTAAATTAAAGCAAATTATCATGCTCAGTTGACATGCAATTTTCCATCATCTTTTCAAAAAGGAGCAGGCAGAAGACACGCGATCTCATGATTTCCTGCCCCTCTCACTTATCAACTTAAAAACATTTAAATCTCCAAACACCAAATAAACTTACATCATTTCCACATTACATGACACTGAAATCTCACATTCTCATTGTTAAATGTACAGCGATTCTACTCCATGAAAATAATCTTCAGCTCTTACCTGCTGCTGCAGGCCGTGCAGAGACGTCTCGCAGGTTTCAACCTGCTGCTGCACAGCCTCGTACCTCAGAGCAGGAAACGACCATATCGTGGTGTTCACATCGCACCGGCAAGAGTCAGACTTTTTCTGACCCGGCACGCGGTAAGCCCAGGTCTGTACCTACATACAAAAACACAGATATTTATGGAAGCAGAAAACAGATGAGGTGCTGAAAACCAAAACTCCTCACTGAGATTGTATCTTGAGGTTTCAGTCTAAATTTTTTTAAGGATTTGTAGAAATGTGACTTACTGTAGATAAGAGCAGTGGGAAGAGCAGCAGCATCATGCTTGAAGCTGGACCAGTGATGATCGGACGTCTGTGTGGTTCTCTTAATCAGCAGACTGATTTACTGTCTCTCATTTGTCATTACTGACCCATAAAATCAGGACTCAACTAAATATATCAAAGTGCAAAGTTACCAAAGACTTGTGGTCTGGCTCAGTTTCCTACTTCCCCTTCTCTTTATTGGTCGTTTATTTGTGAGGTCAGTTCCTCTTTTAAAAGATCCTATAATCATTTTTTTATTTGAAATGTGTAAAATCTCACAGAACAAAACCTTCATTTCCAAATTTTATTTAACAGCATTAATTAGATTGTGTTTCTGACTGCCAGATTATTTGTCCTATTTCTTGCCGTACATCAACCACTTTTCCCCCACAGCTGCTTGTCCATCTCCAGAAAGTTTAAGCTTATATTCCACATTATTTTTTAACACGGACATAGTCTGACCAACCATTATTCTATTGCTTTTATTATGAAAAGTTTTAGAAAGTATTTCATCCACTTCTTTTCTGTGATGGCTTTAATGGAAATGTGATTAGAGCACATGAACACAGCCTCTTCTAGGTGACAGTGGTGATCAAAGATGTCTGAAAGCCACGATTCTCTAACTGTGGGACAAATACCACCAAGATAGCTTCTGACCAAAACCTCCAAAAAAAAAAAACAAAAGCGACAAGAAGGAAAAAATAATGAATATATTTGTATTTGTCTTCTGTTAGTTATTCAGTTAAGATCAAATGGGTTTACTTATGTAGCACTAATTCTCTACAAATAACGGGTCAAGGAGTCACTTTACCAAAAGGTCAAATGAATTCAGTCATTTAGATGGCTTCAAAGTCATTTATATCTGTTTTTAAAACACTTTGTTTTTAAACTCTGAAGAATTCTACACTTAATTTAAACATGCAATTTGATCAAATTGTGTTTTTTTTTTTATTCATTGTGCAGGTTGAACATTTTCTGTTCCTGAATGCTACAACCACATCTTCAAAAGTGAACCAAAAATCTAAATAATAAATTAAAGGAACCCTTCAGTCAGTTTTTTTTTTGTCCCCATTTGACTTTTCTCTAAGTTTGCAGTCACTTTAAATTCAAGGCCATTGACTTCTAAATGGAAGTAAAACAGCAGAACTCAGATAAATAAGGTCATTTATGACCATAATCTGCAGACTCAAGCTGCTGATATAATCATTTGTCTCCTATATGAACCTGAAGACGGAGGACAAAGCTGCAATACAACAAGGAAAACAAAATACTTCAAACAAAGCAAATGAAATGAACACAAGTGATTAAATAAACATACATCACATTTTGTGCAAAGGAGAATATATTTAATATGTTGTTTTTAGCAGTTCTCTGGTGATCTGAGAACAACACTGTGGGTGAAAGAAAATAAAAATACTTTAATTAATGTATTGTTTTGAGTTGAGTTTTAGAATCTTATTCAAACAGTGGTGCCCAAGTTATTTCCTCGAGAATTACTATCCTGGAGCATTTAGATGCATCTGAATCAAATGGCTTAATTCCCTCATCAGCAGGTCATTCAGCTCTGTAGAGGCCTGGCAAGGAACCATTCAGTTAGTTCAGGTGTGTTTGAGGGCAGATGTATCTAAAAGTTGGAGGATAGTGGCTCTTGACAGCTACAGTTGGGCATTCATGGAGTAAAGAAACATGTTCACAAATATAGATCTCATTTGAATCCAGTTTACTTGGTTAAATCTGCAACTTTTCTAGTCGGAATCATGACAAGAAGCTTTATTGTTGTATTTCAAGTTAAATAGAACTTTCCATTTACAAATTGAAAGAAAAAAATGGTTAAAGAGTCAGCTTATTATAGAGAAATAATCATTAAAGCTTAGCGTTAGCCTGACCCATATAAACCGTTTTATCTGATGAGTCTTACTTAATCAAATCGTAGTTCCTAAAGAAAAGAGACGCAATGTCAGCAAGTTCTGAACATTTTTAAAACTCATTTACATGTGGTAATTTTTTCTTTTTATGCTGACTTCAGACTGGTTCTATTTAAGGTAAGAAAAACAATAAGCACACTGTCAAACAGTGGGACATAAAAAATGCTTGGCTTGAAGAACTTAGTCTGTATTGAATCTTTTGTGTGACTAACACAAACCACAGAAATGAATATTAAATTTAAAAGTCTAGTCCAGGGTTGTGGATTTTTTATTGAGGTTCTTTTTCCTGCCTTCAGTGCAGAATGGACACTTTCTGTTCCTAAATCCAAATTAACACAAATATTATTAGCAAAAAGATGATTGATTAGTCATTCTTTTTATTCACACGTGATTTCCCTGCATCTCAACAGAGACCATATGAGCAATTATTCACAATGTGTAAAAGTAAAAGTCCAAATTTTAACCAGATGACATCTCTAAAACAGTTTACCTGCGTTTTTAATACGCAAAATATTATTTGCATGTTAGACGAATAACAGTCATATTCCTTTTTTATTTACAACGCAGCAGTCCGATTTGTCCTTAAAGGAATCGCAACAAGCAAATTGCAACAAAACTCTTTGGACTTAGTTTGAATAAAAATGGTAAATTTGTATTTTTGGTGTTTATATTTAAATAAAATCATAATTTCTTTCAAATGGAAAGAAAACTCTGAGTTTTGTTCCCGAGTCTGATTACACTGATTTTTCTTTTTTCTCAGATTTGTCCTTAAACAAATCTGAGTTAAATTGAACTGAATTGTTCGTATCTGAACTGAATTCTGCATGTCAAGCTGTTTTGGTCCAAGTTGAATTTTGTACACTGGCACCATGAAGATAAATGCAGCCAAAATTTGGATCTGTATCCATTTGCTGCTGGTGTCAACGTCTCTGGGGAAACAAAGAGCTTGTGCTCATGTCATGTTTTCTAAAGCATCGCTGCAGTTTCACAAAGAGTAAATTACACTTTATGTTTAGGTGATCTTCAACTTAATGTTGCCTCGGAGTTATGTCTATGCATCCTGTCAGCATTTCTTCTCAGTTGGTTAAATATTCCTGTAAAATCGCCACAAAGTCCTAATATGTGAAGCAATTCCTGAATTTGTCAAAAATACAACCTTAATATTAAAAATACTAATAAAGTACCATGTTTTTGAAGGTGAAAAGAGTTGCATCGGTTCAGTGCCCGAGAAGCATCTTCATGCTAGTTAAACTTTTTCACATTTTACCTCATAATTATGAGCATCAACTAGGCACAAAAGGATGCGTTTTTTTTCTTCCTAAAAATAAAAATCTGATGTGCGGCGTACGCGTCAGATTTTATGTGTATGCCACAGAGAGTCCAAATAAAAATCTGAGTAACATCCAGAGCATCTCATTTCGCACGCGATCCTGCTTAACTTATGGAAAACTGCAAACCGGGTTTTGATTAATTTTATTTCAACTATGGCTGTCTTCTTGCCACAAATGTTGTCCTTTAAACTCATTTTCCTTCCTGAACTGTGAATGCAGCTATAGGTGGATGGTCTGGATGTAGGTTTGCATTTGGGTCAGAGCCTTTCAATGTTCAAACGAAGAATTAAACAGTGACATTTTCAAAGCCTGGGACGTTGTTTTATAACCCAACCCAGTGAAATTCCTCTGCAACTTTCTCCCTGACCTATCCGCTGTGTTTGTTGGTCTGGTGATGGTGTTTGCTCTGTAATGTTTTTGACAAAACAGGTGGATTTTATGCAGGGAATAAATTACACACAGCACTGTTTATTAATTAGTTAATTAGTCTACAGGCAATTATTTTGACCAGATATCATTTATGGGTATCAGAGTAAAGGCTGCAGCATAGTTTGACGTGGCACAATGTTGCTCTACTCCCTAAAATCCCCATTAAGTAAATATTCGCTTTTAATTGCGATGTGACAAATGTAAGAGTCTGCTTTAGTTCTTGAGCAAGATTAATTTATCAAAAGTTCCTCTCCCTTATGCTTCTGCCTTCTTAGCCACAAAGAGGAAAGGAATAAGATTCAACAAACATGAAGAAAAGAAACTTCCTCTTTTCCCCATTTGCATGCACACATTAGTGGGAGTGTTCACTGCTTAGAAACCTCATCTGCACACAGGACCTTGAACAAACTCCAGTTTTATCAAGCTCTTTGATCAACCATGAAACCCTCTGTAATTGTTCCACTGTGGGCTCTGTTCTCCCTAGCCCAGCAGGTAAGAAACAACGAATGACAACTTTTTTCATTTTAATCCAAATAAAGAACAGCAACCTGATGCTTCAATCTTCAGGCGGCTCCAAGTAAAAGCTGCACATGTGAGCTGAATCCAGCAGAAAAGGCTTTTCCTCACGACAAACTCCAAACAGCGGAAGGCAATGCGACAGACTGCAACACCCACGTCACACCACAGAAGGTAATCCCACCGTGTCTACCTGCATGTCGGCAGTCATGTTGAGTGTTGTGTGATCATCGAGTGCGCCTCTGCAGGCTCTGGAGCTGGAGAGTCTGCTGCTGGGACTGGAGAAGCGCCTGACCCAGCTGCACAGCGACGTGTCCGTCCTGGAGGAGGAGGACGACGGAGAGCTGTACGGCGTTCTCAGTCTGTTCATCATAGAGAACGAAATGGTCGAGATCAGGCAGCTGATGGAGAAGCTCAACAGCACCACCGTGGAACACCAAGTCCTCACCGATGACACCGTTCAACAGGTAGATTCACGCATTAACTCTTAAATCTTTAGGACAATCAAATAGCAGAGCCTCAGAGAAAATTAGAGAAAACTCCAAGCTTTAATTCGGGTATCAGCTTCTGGTTTAACCGCTCACCTTAAACCAGTGTTCCATGTTTTTGGTGAATCCCTTCTGCCACACACCTGACTTGAATAAGTGGGTGGTTAATAAGCTTCTTCAGCACTTGATATCATCTAATTATTTGAATCAGGTGTTCTGAAACAGAGATACATCTAAAATATGCAGAGCATTATTCTTTGAGGACAGCAATTGAGAAACACTGCTTTATCTGTAAACATATTTTTTTGCCAACAGGGCCTTAGTTTGCTGTAATTCTATTGAAAGATACAATAATAAGCTGATTTTAGTTAACTATGCACAAAGGTTTAGTTTGAAAATGCCCTCGTATTTTAAACAACACAAAACATCATGTTCTTCAAAGGTTTCCCAAGGATTAACAAACAAAAATCATCCTAAATCCCATTTTTTTGGGACATAAAATTCCAAATGAGTGAACATTTCTAAAACCACAATAAAGTTTTCCATTTGAACATTATTGAATATCTTGTCTTTGCTGTGTATCCAGTTGAATATAGATTGAAAAGGATGTGGAATAATTGCATTCTGGTTTTATTTATGTTTTAATGTCCCAACTTCATTGGAATTGGTTTAAGTTTTAGATCAACACAAATCAAAAGAAATACATTCATAAATTAATTTAGCTATATGCATATTAAGCAAATGAAGACAAAGAGAAATATGTTTCTCTCTTGTCTCATACAGGAAACAGGAAGTCATGGACTAACTAACTAAAAGGCTCTCTGATCAGCTTTAAAAAGAAACATTAAAAATAAAATTGACATTTAGGGTCAATTAACAGTTAAAAACATGACTGATGATTTATCAAAAAGAGATAGTGATGAAAAGAAAAAAAAACCCCAGTGTGCTGAGAAAAAAATATATAACAAAGAAACTGCTTCTTTCTTGTTTAAAGTTGTAAAGTCATAATCTGAGACCTAAAGCTGACTTATCGTATCTGTAAGTGTGAAAATCTGTAGATATTATTGTTATTGAAAGACAGTGCAAAGCTGCTGCCATCTAGTGGCTATAAATTAAACAGCAAGACGGTTTGTTTAATTGATCAATACAATTAAACTAGACATATTTCATTTCCATTTCAATAAAACATCACTCACATAAAATCAATATTAAAGGTCTGTCTGTGGTTCCATGACTTTTAAAAATATCACTGTAAATTCACAAGTCAAAGTCTTAACCTTTTTCCCCCCAACTGCTCTATATGTTTCCATTGTCTTTCTCAGCTTGAGGAGTTGAAAACTGAAATGATAAAACTGGAGAAATTTGACACCATGGAGGTGGTGAAGGGACGACAAGTCAACAAGCAGCTGAAGAGCGCCCTGGAAACATGCAGGATCGGAGTTAATGCCACTGTCACACCCACCCAGCCACCATATGGTAACTCCCTCAAACATAAAGATCTCAATGACCTTAAACTCAAATACTTAAATGTACTGACCATTTTCCCAGGAAAAATGATAAAAAAAACAAAAAAAAAAACTGTAGTTGTATTTCATTAGTGTCTTTTTTTAATTTAGGTACCTGTCAACACGGTCCACTTCGTAACATCACCGGGCCTGGTGTGAACACACAAGGAGAGTTCTCTGGCAATTATGCATACGGGGCTTGGGGTCGCGATCCCAAACCAGAAACGAGGAAGGAGAATTGGTACTGGATGGTACCTCTGACTTCCAGCCAGTACGCTAACTATATCCGTTTCTACTCCAGTCTTAGTGCACTCATCATTGGGGTGAGCACTCCAGGTGAGGATGTTCGCCTAAAAGTGACTCGATAATTCTTCAAAATATATGCATCCAGTGCTTTGTTTTAACTTCCGCACTTAAGTGAAGTACAGTTAGCTGTTCGATTACTATTTATGAGTTTCTACTGGTTCCAAGACACCAGTATGTGTCCAAAAACACCCTTTACACCCCAACCCTTAGTCCCCTCTCTAAAAGTGTGCTTCCATGTTTCTCAATGTGGATCAGAGCTCAGAGAAGGAAATGGAAGATGGGATCAACCACTCTGATGTCAGACTTGTAAGTAAATTGCAATGGATCTTATGAAGATTTCCCAAAGGAGTAAAGATGGCTGAGGACCAGCTTGCAGAGGGTCTACATCAAATGAGAGGGAAATGCTACCAATCTGTAGCTTCTGAGGTCCTTTAGATGAGAGGTCTTCGGCACAGGTACCATGCAGGTGGACTTCCACAGCTGCAATAAATTCCCCAGCTTCAGGCTCATGTTGAACATGTCTCCCATGATGCCATACAGTTGATCTGCACAGCACTTCAAGTGCCTGAAGCTAATGCCATCCAGACCGTCAGCCTTCCAGTCTTTCGCAGGTTGTTCCTCACCTGAAGTGTTGTAAGGATCAGGGTTGTAGTGATGAGGAAGGCTGTAAGATGAAGTTCTCTGAACAGAAGTGGGTGAGAGATGTCTGAGAGTTGTCAAGTTTGGGGAAGAAAAGCAGGCAGTTGTTGAAGATGAGGGGCGTTTGCAACAGGGGAGATGAGGGAGTGGTGAATAAGTGATTATATCTATTGAAGAACTATTTCAGCTTATTCGTCCACTGTAAATCTTCTACAACCTGGGCATTTAATGTGTCACTGGAAATTGCCGTCAGACTTACAAACACCACTTTTTTCCCCCTTCTCTAATCTTTCTTCTCAGCTCCTCCCTGTTTCCTGATCAAAACAGTCTCTTCTTTTTCTCATGGAGAGCTGTTGTTTCAGGATTGATGCCAGAGCTGCAAAACATTGGACCTTCATGAGGGGCACAGTGTTGCCAACACCGAGGTCTTCCCACATGATGGAGCTGGAACTGTCCCTCAGAGTGTCTTTAGTCTCCTCAGACCATTTCTTCATTGTGAATTTCATAGCTGGTTCTTTGTGTACAAGAGGCTTTTACACCCATGAAGATGAACCAGGTTGTGTTTTAATCCCCCCGGTGAACAAGCTTACCTTTAAAGGGAATTTGAAATAAATGGTCTCTAACAGATTCCCAGCTCACCAGAAATCACTGGATAAAAAAATATATTGCAAAAATAACACATTAGTGTTTTAAGCATTATAAAAGGGCATGAAGTCATACTTAAGAAGATAAAATAATGTATAACAGTAAGGGTTACTTAGATTGATTACAAAATAGCAAAATTCCTGAATGCCATTAAGAATATTTGTAAGAAAGTAGGGAATCTTTTTAATATTCTGTAAACAAAAACTGAGCTTCATTGTCAGGCAGAAAAACAAGAAAATAAAATGTTCATCTTGCTTGTTTCATCCACATCGTTTAGATCACTTACAGCAGGATGAAGAACTCTCTTCTGGATCTTGGCTCAGCCAATCAGATGATTTGTTTGTTGATCTGGAACTCACCAGTGCAGAAGAAGAACATTCTGCTTTCGGTATGGTTCCAGGAAGTTTTGTTGGTAGGTGCGAGACTTAGTAGCTGAAAGACCAGAGGCCCTTCCAGTGGGGTGGCTGGCTGTGTCTGTGGGGAGTGCACTGGGATGGGGGCAGGGTGTTGGGGTACTGGGCCACTGAATTGGCTTGGCTTACTGCCCTCGTCTTGGAGGAGGCCACTCTGTGGGGGACTCTCCTCTTAACATTTTTGATCTATCAAAGGTCCCACGTCTCAGCAGGTGCTGCATTGGTTTTGGGGCACAGCTGGGACAAGAGGGAACAAGGTGGGGAGTCCCCTTTGATGGTGTGCTGCTTGTGTGGGAGCTTGGACCATGCCCGGAGTGCTGGGCACCCATCAGGATGCCTATGGCTCCGGGGGATACATCCCGGCCAGAGGCAGCAGTGGCTTCGCAGAGCTCTGTCAGCTGTCCATTCTTTTTGGTCTCTCAGGGCCTAGCTCACCAGGTGTCCCTCTCTGCCCTGGTCCTTCTGCTTTACAGCTGCTGTGGTGGGCCAGTACCACCTCAGTGTGTTGGAGGTTCTGGGGTAGGGAGGGTCTCCCTTGCTTAGTGCTGGGTGCCTTTGCTGCTGGGGGTTTGTGGGAGCTTGGGGCCACCAGAGAGGCTGGCTTCAACCTGCCTCTCTGCGAGATGGAAGTGTGGATAGGTCAGGAGGGGGCCGCCCTACATTTCGGCCTGTGACTCTTTGGCCTGGGAGCTGCTGCTCCATTGCTTTGCTGATGGAGCAACCTTTTGTGTGGAGTGGTTGCCTTTCTGATCCAAGTTTATCCTTCCTTTGCTGCTCTTTGGTGCTGTGGGTTTCTGGCCTTTCAATCTTCTTGGCATGAACAATTGTGTACCTCCAGGTGACACACTCACTCACATAAAGTAGGTCCTTGGTTCAGCACTGAATCTGTTCCTCTGTCTCTAATGTAATTTGCAAGTAGGTGTGAGCAAAGAACAAATAAGCAATTCTTTACATTGTGACAATAGAAGAATATTCTACATATGATCTCTGTAAACATCTAAGCTTCTTCGTTCTTGACAAACTGAGGTCCAGGTATTATAATCACACCAGTAAGAGTATTCTAATGGTTACCTGATTGTACATGTTTTCTACCAGGCAACATTCAGATCGCTTCCTCTAACCCGACCACCAACACCATTCAGGGTCCCAATAATGTTTTGTATGGAAGTGCCTTGTACTACAACTGTTACAACCGGGATGCTGTTTGTCGATTCAACCTCACCAGCAAAAGTGTGACCAGCGTACAACTACCAAGAGGAACCAGGTTAGATAATGTTGCAAGAACATTTGATGTGCTGGTTCTGTTTGAGTCATCGCTACAGTCTTAGTGTTGTTCTTTCTTTTATTGCATTGTTAGTATTATTCCTGTCTCGGGTCTGATAGGTATAACTCAAAGAGTAATTTCTGCCACCTTGAAGACTGCTACGCCTTCACTGACCTGGACCTGGCCACTGATGAGTCAGGCGTTTGGGTCGTCTACACCACCACCGAGGCATTAGGCAATCTGGTTCTGACCAAGGTGGAGGAGACTGAGCCGCCAACGCTCGGTAAAACATGGCGCACTTCAGTCTACAAGCGAAGTGTGACCAACACCTTCATGGCCTGCGGCATCCTCTACGCAACACGTTACATCGACGCAAATGTGGAGGAGGTGTTTTATTCCTTCGACACCACGACGGGGATGGAGAACTTCAAAGTTAGCATCTTTATAAACAAGGTGTCCCCTAACATTTTCTCCTTGAACTACAACCCAGTGGACCAGATGCTGTACGTGTACAGTAATGCTAAAATGGTCTCCTACAAGGCTTTGTTTGGGTACTCTGATCGTTATTTTTCATAGGAGTGATATTTGATCGTACAGTGATCAAATGATCACTGTACGATCATTTGACATGATAGTATTGTCATGGTGTTATATTAACATATAAGCAACAAGTTTCCTATGAAAGACAGCATATTCTCAAAATGTTTCCGCATGGCTTTAGTGTTACTGTTGCAGCCGCGCTGTCGTTGAAGTAGAAGTTGATTGTAAAACGGCACATTCAGCTTTGGTTAGTTAGACAATTAATCAACTCCAGTTAAAAAATAAACTTACTCAGCTTGTTCAAATGCACTGGATTGTGATGAATATGGCAAATCCTTTTATTAAATTTATAAGAGAATTTTTGAAACAACAGGAAGCCATAATGTCTATTACTTCCTAGTAGTACAGTAGATGCCTAATAGTAGCGGGGATTAAGAACCAAAACCTAACTTTAAAATTATTATAACTGCTTATTTTAGTAGTTTAATCACCAAATATACCTTGGTATGCAGTAATACATACAGTGGAAACCAAAAGAAAGAAGGGTTCAGTTTCAGGGTTAATAAAATTTGCAATAATCACAATAAAGGCTAAAAATGAAGAAAAAAAATACAGTTTGGCTATGAGAGTATGGTATTTTCTATTTACAAATCTAAAGAATCACATCATGTTGCTATTTTGTTTAATTCTCTTTAACGGTGTATGTGGGGAGTGGTGTTTATATGGTGTGAAATTTCTCAAGTTGCTTTTCTGCTCCAATGATAAATTAGATTTTCTAGCTGTTTGTTTAGTGATCATTCAAAAATGTTATGACTAATTTTCCGTATTAAATTTTGTACCTCCTTAAAGATGGAGTAGGTAATTTTTATAAAACGTGTAAAATTGTCATGTTATGACAGTATATATGATGGATATGTGAAAGAAAAATCAAGTATGATTGATGATGAGAATAAAACTGTCTCCTGTCTCTGTCTTTTTCCAGCAGATCATCTGTTTCTTACAAATATATTAAAAACATGTTTCATAAAAGTTATCTACTGAAACATTAACAACAAAAATAAATAAAAAAAAGTAAAAATGTATTTTGTTGTAAACAAGATTCAAGAGAGTAAATATATGATTCAAAACAATTTGGTGAAATCTAAAATGTATGATGTTACTGATTTCACAATTCTTTAATGAAATAAAAAAAATGTTAATCAAGTTTATTCAAGAATAAAAACATGGATATATTCTGCCTTATTCCATTCAGACATGATGTTACATATATATTTTGAAATCTTCCAACCAGGTAAAAACTGATTATTTCTTTTTTTTTTTTTTTTTTTTTTTTTTGCAAAAAAATAGTATGGTGATGTTTTTAGAACTTATTTCAAAAGATGATCAGAAAAACACATAAAAAGCTTGTCAACAGTAAAAAAAAATAATAATTTCAGTGCTATGATGTGAATTTAAGTTTTTCAATTAATTACCAAGAATTGCTGATGTAATTTTAAATATACAATTTTGATTGAAATGTGAATAAATACAAAAAAAAACATTCACAGTTTGTCCTACAAACAGAACAAAAAATTAATAAATAAAATCTCACAAGACAGCAAATCACAGTGCCTAATTTTGAGTGAATGAATATGTAAAATCCTTGGACAATTGTGCCATCTACAGGCTGCCTTGTAGAAAAACTACCAGGAAAAATGCAAATAATAGACTTCAGACAGTTTGGAATGTGATACCCTAAACCAGGGGTCCCCAAACTACGGCCCGCGGGCCGGATCCGGCCCGCCACGTCATTTGGTCCGGCCCCCTGAACAATACCGGATCCGGCCCGCCTCCTCATACCAGAGAGCATTCAGTGTTTATTTTTCATATATTGTATTTTCCGGTTTATATGTGGATTTTTCTTCAACCACCAGGGGGCTCTTGAGCAGATGTGAAACTAACTTTCCCTCAATGGAATATATACCAGTCAGTCCCAGTCACCGTTTCACTCACGGTTTTTTCCATTTGCATTCTGGGTAAAAATCTATCTAAAAGCGCGAATGTCTCCCCGGCCCCCCCCCCCCCTCTGCCCCCCGTCCACAAGAATTTTCTAAGGTTTCTTTCTCCAAAAACTAAGACCGGCCCCCGACCAGAAAAAGGAACAGCTATGTGGCCCTCGCAGGAAAAAGTTTGGGGACCCCTGCCCTAAACGCATGATAAAAGAAATCTACAAAAAATATAATTATAATTTACATGCAATTTAAATTACAATTTAAATTGCATGTAAATTATAATTATGTGTCAAATTATAATATTTGACATAATTTTTGAGAATGAAGGAGGGAGGGATAAGAGCAGCTGCCACTGACCCTGCAGGTTACCATGGCAACGTTTTAGAGACTTTGGACCAATTGGAAAGGGATACTTCATTGAATATTAAACTGTTTTTGAAGAGGGGACATAACAAAAGCGATAAATTTCCTATACATTGATTCAAAAGTGTGCAGCAAACATCCAAATAAAAAAAAAAAGCCACAGTGTGATTACATGTGCTTTTTAAAACAAGAGATTTATCATTTATTAAGATAAACTCTGACAATATTGTTTGGTAAAATTTGTTAGATAACCAACATCTTTATTCAAATAGTATTGCAGGATTAACAAACATTACACATTACAGATGGACCATTATTAATTATACCACAACATTTTTGAAATGGCATTGTCATTATTGATAAGTCAACACTTTGGCTAACATCTTTGATTGGCTAACAAACGTTGTTGTTTAGCCAACACTTTTGCTCATTCAGCATCGTTTTTGAGTAATATTTGTGTTGTGTTGAATCAATTTAGCTCAAAAATAAAATTATTCCATGAAATCAAAAGTAAGCCTGATAGGCCAGAAGATATCCATCATTGTACATGTAGATCTGCCTGTTGACCGGGTTGTAGCTCAGACTAGCCACTCCTTTAGCAACTTTCTCCAGTGGCAGAGCCAGAGAGTTGTCCTCTTTACCAGTAGCTGTGTCGAAGGCGTAGAATACTTCCTCTCTGTAATCGTTCACATAACGAGTGGCGTACATCACACCACACACCATGAAAGCGTTGCTTACCGCCTTCTTGAAAAGCCTCGTCTCCCAGATCTGTGTCACGTTGAGAACCTGAGCTTCGCCATCCCAAACTAACCTGCTCACTACCAGATTACCGTGGTTGCCAAGAGTGGTGTAGATCACCCACAGCCCGGTTTCATCGGCCTCCACATCCACGTCGCTATGCGAGCGGCAGTCATAGTAACAATATGGAAACTTGTTTTTGATCCCAACACCAGTACCTGGAATGGTTGCCCGCTTGACAGAGTTGGTCTTCAGGTCGTAGCGGCAGACGTCGGTAGAGCCGAAGCAGTGATAGTACAGAGCTTCACCGTACAGGACACCGCTTGGACCCTCGACGGCATCAGCATGAGTGTAGGATGGGGCAAGGGTGTAGTCCTTATGGTTGACAGATGCCATGAAGTCTTCGTAGGTTTGGTAAACACGGAAGGTGTTACCATAGATGTGGCTGCTGAGCAGAGTTTGAACCCAGTAGCTGTCCTTCTCTCCCTCTGTGTCCATCTGCGCTTGTCTGCCCCATGATCCAGAGATGTAGTTCTTACCATAGGGACTGATTTTGGTTGTAACAGGTTCACTGATATTGGTAATAAGACCCTTCATGCAGTACCTGTGCTGGCCTGAAACGAGGAAAAAGTGTCTTGAGTACAGATCACGCTTTCAATATTTCATTAGGTGTTTCATATAGGAGTGGTATGAAACACTGGGTAAGTGTTTGGCATCAACACTTAATGACTTCATTCAAAAAAATGAAGTGAGGTAGGCCAGAATTAAAAATGGTGGATGGTGTATCTACTGTTTACACTGCACATGTGTCATAATTGATTAATACAACACCTTACCTTTAAAGTCTTTGGGAATTGTCTTGCAGGACTCCACGCTGTTCTTCAGGTAGCGGAAATTTTCTTTCACGGTCTTTAGATTAATAGTGTCTGAGATTTGCATCTTTTCTACATCTTTCCGCAGTTTACCCACCTGGCAAACAAACATAAACACACACCCTCTCAGAACAGTAAACATTTATGAGAATCCATTTTTTTTCCTGCACTTTGTTGTACCTCTGTGGAAAGTTTCTGTGTCTGCGTGTTGTTCAGCTGGGTGTGGACTGCACTGAGGTCGATCTCTAGCTGGCTGAGTTCTTGACCCAGCAGGCGCAGCGACAGCGCGGTGTACAGGCCCTGGTGGCGAAGGTACTGAAAGGGCTGGAGTCGGGCTGTCACATTTTCAACTTGAGCCTGAATCTGAGGAAGACGAGTGGTGGAGAGCAACACCTGAGGAGAAACAGAAATAGAAACTCAATGGCTTTTATATATATATAGACAAGATTTTATTCATAGATGTTAACATCAGAGACTGATAATTTTGTGTGAAGCTACATATGTTCAACTGAAAAATAATCACCCATTTCCTTAAAAATAATCCAAGTGATTTAAATAGTCAAAGAGGATTTTCATATTTAAACTTTATTTAGCTACATTATGCCTACATGGGGGGCGGAGAGAAGGGAGAATAAAACCCCGAACAGAAAGAGTCTGATGTAAAGGACTAACAAAAATGCAGAGATTTGGCATTATTGTTGGGTTGTGGGCTAATTGGGCACAGAAATAAATGTTACATTCAATATTTTTTTATTTATATTCAGTTTATTCTATGTTAGTCTGTCATCATGAACATGTCCCTAATATTTGCACTTTTTATTGCTTATTGAAGAAGTAAAAATACAAAGTAAGAGCAGTTAAATGTTTTCAATCTATCAACCTCATGTCATATAACTTTCTCAGTTAATAATCCTTTAATGCTTGATGTATAAACCAGAAAAGTGTCATTATTGACATGTATTTAAGCACTAAACATGACGTCTTTTCATGAAATCCAAATAATTTAATGTAAAATATCAGTTTTCCAGCAGTTTTACTTCGTACCTGTTCCTGCAGACTGCTCAGAGATCCCTCACAGGTTTTAACCTGCAGCAGCACACCTTCGTACTTTAGCACCGGGAAGGACCACATGGTGGAGTTCACCTCACAGTGGCAGGAGCCATCTTTACTCCGGCCGATCACACGTTGGGCATCTCCACCTTTCTGGAGTTACACACACAAAAAAAAACAATGCAGTAAACAGAACACTGGTAAAAAGCTGCATTAACAAAAAGAAACATTAAGAATAGATTTAAAACTCACTAGGGATGTTAACAGAAGAAGGAGAAATGCCAGCATCTTCACAGCAGGAGACCTTAATGCCAAATATCTCCCCTTTTCTCTCCCTTCGCTGAAATACTACGACCAAACCCTCTGATGAGTCACAAATCTGTCACCACAGAAAGCTTTCACATCCACATGAAACCCCACAAAGGATGGGAAACTATAAAGTTTCACAACAAATATGGTTGATTCAGGAGTCGCCCATTCCCCTTTTGTTATGCAAGAGCTTTTGTTTTTTTCATGTTTTTGGAACACACCGTTTCACCCTGATAAACAAAATCACTTCCTCCCTCTCGACTCAGCAACATGTCATTGAACCAGCATCACTGAGCTGAATAGAATGATGACGTCCATCCATTTGTGCAGCTTATTACATTTTTATATCATTTCAAACAAGCACATTTGAAACAAATCTCTTATACTGGCAGTCTCAAACTGATATAGGAGACCTAAGGGTGCTGCAACTTTTAGATTTGTTCCTTGACTTAAGTGTCTCGTTAGCATGCAGTTACAGCAAGCTGCTAATGAGCTAATATTGGAGTCAGGGGTGCTGAAGCAGAGAGATCTAAAAGTTGACAAGTTTGAACAAAACGCATTTTATTTGTACTGCAGTATTAGATACGTTTTTCTAAATTAAGTGTTATAATCCATTGGTTGGTCAAAGGTGATATTGTTCTTCTATGCAGATGACAAAATCATCTTTCCCAGCGTTTCATAATCAATAGAATGATTAAAACTAGATACAACATAATGCCATTTGTCAATTATTTACCCGAAAACTGCCATCTTTTACAGATTGTTTAAAAATTATATACAAGTAATGATAACACCAACAATGAAAAATATAATGGACATAGTTTGACTCCAAGAGCAAATAGTTTAACATTGATTGTGTCCTTTTCTACAAACTGCCAACAACAAACAACTTAAAACAGTAACAACATTAGGCTTTCTTTTATCATGTAAGACTTACTTATTATTACTACGGCATCCTTTCTGAACCCCTAAAAGTAAGATTATGTGCTAATGTGTTTACAATAATTGCAAGTGAAAACAAATGTGTGAACTGGTATTATTTTAGAGCAGAGAGAGAAAACAGAACCACCCTTGCAAACGAGGAAGCTCTTCTGTGTAAACTGTGAAATTTTTCAAATCACAACTTCACTTTAAATTTGAAAATGTTTAAAAATTGTGTATGCCATCAAACAATGCACTACATAAACCCATGTCTTTACTTATTTCAATTTAAGAGGCACTGGGGATATAAATGTTCCCCAGAAAAGGAAATTGTAGCTAGTTTTACAACAGCTGTGGTTGACTCAGGAGTCACTCATTTCCTGTTTCTCTCATGCGAAAGGTATTATTTCCATCACACTAATACATGTGGTAGTTTTACTTCACAAAAATACAAAATAATCACTTCTTTCATCACTGAGGGACAGCTGGCCCCAACAACAAATGTCTTTTCTATGAATAACATTTTTTGATGCAGATGCTGTGCAATCAGATGAGCTTTTAAATTTTGATTCTTTCTGCTGTTTCACATTAATTTAAGACCCAATAATTTTTTGCATCACATCTTGATTTTATTCTGGAGTTACACTTTGAGAGTTTTAGCTTTCATAAATTGATGTGACGTGAAAAACCTGAATGGAAATGACTCTGCAAAACCGTGACAGATTTCACATGCATATGAAACTGCAAAACAGCTAAAACTATGGAGTTTCACAACAAATATTGTCACCTAAGGACTCTCCCATTTCCCTTTTTTTCCATGAATGTTATTGTTTGACTTTCTATAACATTTCAGCTCTAAAGTTGCCCCGTAAAAGAACATATAATATCAATAACTAAAATTGTTAAATATCCATCTACAAATGACTTGCAATATCTTCCACTTATGAGGTACTTTGTGTCAGGGTTAAACACAAAAATACAACTGAAGATAAGTAACAATGACTGTTTGGTTGTAGCGTGGACATTTATTTATTGAAAACAGTTCAATGAGTCATTCTGTATATTGGTCAACATACTGAAGGCGATTAGCAACTTTATTGTTTATTGTACCAACTTGAAAGGTGCTACGGGAAACAAAAAGTAGATAAATAATAATACATTTTAAAAAAAAGGAAGACAAATGTTCTAATCTCAAGCAAAGTAAAATAAAATGTAACTTCAGATAATTTTGCATCGTTGTGCATTTTCTAAGTGGACTTTGAGCAATAAGAGTTTTTCCCAGGCATACAAGTTTTTCCACACTAACTGATTAGGCAATGTATTACCAGAACAACTTGAACAACAAAAAGAACAACTCTTCTTTTTGCAAAATCTATCCACCCAGAACAAATGACCTTGCATATTGTACCCATCTCTGTTGTGCGTTTCATCAACAGGTCAAACAAAGAAATCCCACATTGCCACAATCGCATCTGCAAAGAGGAAGTGAAAACCTGCAAAGCATGCAAATCCACTGACTCACATGCAGTCGATGTGGGAGTGTTCATGAAATAGTAGCTGGTGCTGCAGCGAGGCTGGTTTCACAGACTGTTTGATTTGCTCTCTGATGCATCATGAAGCTGCTCGTCGTCCTTCCATTGTGGGCCCTGTTCGCTGTCACCCAGCAGGTAAGCAGGTTATTAATGATATTTATTTCTAAGTATCAATTACTTGCTCATCTCTCTCTCTCTGTTTGTAATGTGTCGTTATTTCAGAAAGCGCCGTCAGATGACTGTCAGTGTGAGCTGATAAGTTCGGAGAAACAGTTTCCCTACGACAAGCTGAAAGCAGCACAGGATGCCGCCTTAGGCTGCATAAACACCGTCACTCCGCAAAAGGTAGGCCAGTCTCCTCGTTTTCAAATGGACTTGAACTTGCTGCGTGTCTACATCCATGCACTGCTTGATTGCTTACTGCTCTGACAGAGCGCCGCCTTGGACAGCCTGCTGCTGGGCCTGAGTCGACGCCTGCCCCAGCTGGAGCAGGACGTGGCGATGCTGGAAAAGGAGGATGATGGAGAGCTGTTTGGAGTTCTGAGTCTGCACATCATCGAGAACGAGCTCGCAGAGATCCAGCAGATGATTGATAAGCTCAACAGAACCAACGCAGAAAGCGACCGCCTCAGTGAAAACGTAGCTCAGCAGGTAAATTCATAACCCTTCAGTACTTTTAGTGCTTTGTCTTTAAATGACAAGTCTCTCATCAGTGTCGCCACATTTGGACAGATTTAAATACATTTACAGAACATTATTGAGTCCAAATCATTAATAATTAACATTCATTGGGTTTTTTTTCTTCTTTTTTTTAGCTGGAGAATGTAAAGGAAGAGATGGAGGAGCTGGAAAAATTTGACACCATGCAGGTGGTGAAGAGACAACAAGCCAACCAGCGACTGAAGAGAGACCTGGACCAGTGCAGAAACAATGGAGTTTTCCCCACTATCCAACCCACTCAGCCAATTGGTGGTAAGTCCTAAAATTCTGAATGGAACAGCCCATCACATAAGCTCAACAGAACCACAGAAAATGGTCGTTTGAATCATAAACAGGGTCGTTTAAATGAAGTTTCCTGCTGATGGAAAATTGGGAATTGTTGAAACTGTGAAAATACAACTATCCCTACACGTGCTTGATATCTTCCTGGATGTTTTGATTTCACATTCTCCTAGGCGCCTGTCCTCATGGTCGTCTCGTCAACATCACCGGACCAAGGGTCCACACAGCTGGAGAGTATCCCGGTTCGTACAAGTACGGAGGCTGGGGTCGGGATCCCAAACCAGAGCCGGGGAAGGAGAGCTGGCACTGGAGGGTGATGTTGACGTCCAGCAACAGATACGCCCATTACGTCCGTCTCTACTCCAGCCTGAGCTCTCTCATTGTTGGGATCAGTGTTCCAGGTGAGAGCCTGAGCCTCCACAGGCTTGATTACATCTGTGTTTCTAAAAATAAAATCTAAAAATCAGTTTGTCTTTGATTATCTCCAGAAGAGAACTGATTGCTTGAATATTTCATGTGTAGGTTGACCGATTACAGAAAATGTCACTTAGGAGGTAATTTTTTTTAATCACCTTTTGTGATGTGAATTCAAACCGAATGCTTTACGTCTTCTTTGTCCTCAGGAAATGTTCAGATCCATCCGTCTAACCCGACCACCAACACCATCCAGGGCCCGAATGTGGTTCTGTATGCAGGGGCCTTGTACTACAACTGCTACAACAAAGACGCAGTTTGTCGATTCAACCTCACCTCCAAAGGTGTGACCACCTTGGATTTACCCAAAGGAACCAGGTCGGTGCTTAACTCTTATTGAAGTTGTGAACGTAAGAATAAAAGTCAGAAAATTACAGCATACTCTGAACAATGCTAGGAGCGTCTAATGAAACTCATGGCGACTGTGAAAATCTGTCAATATCAATGTTGACAGAGAAAAATTGAAGAAAAATCACGTGTCCATCTGGCACAAGAAACTGTCGCAGACATACATAAAATCATCTCTGTTTGGATGGGACCTGAAAGGCACAGCAAGAATTTCAGTAGTTTTATGTAATATGCTACGTCAATGGGAGTGAGTGAAAGATGGTTATGGCTCAATATAACTAAATAACCTTCAGGAAAAAAATGCGGCACCTGATCAAACGCTGACCTTTAAGTTTTATGAGGCATACTCTGAAATATTTTTCATCGTGATTTATAAATGTTTTCAACTTGTTGTATTCCGTTATTCCGTTAAGAACTGTCCAAAACTAAAACGCTGCTCTGTAATCACCTCTGCTTGTTTACCAGGTATAACTCAAAGGGCGATTTCTGCCACCTTGAAGAGTGCTACCCGTTCACGGACCTGGACCTGGCCACGGACGAGTCGGGCGTCTGGGTGGTCTACACCACCACCCAGGACCACGGGAACCTGGTTCTATCGAAGGTGGAGGAGGGTGAGCCACCGAAGCTCAGCAGGACCTGGCGGACTTCAGTCTACAAGCGAAGCGTGACCAACACGTTCATGGCCTGTGGCGTCCTCTACGCAACACGTTTTGTCAACAAAAACACAGAGGAGATCTTTTATTCTCTTGACACGACGACAGGGAAGGAGAGTTTCAAAGTTGGCATTTTCATAAATAAGGTGTCTTCTGACATTCTGTTCTTAAACTACAGTCCAGTGGACCAGATGTTGCATGTGCAGAGTGATGCCCAAATGCTCTCTTACAAGGTTTTGTTTCAAATGTGATCAAAGCAGCAGTAATGCTGAATAAGTGCCAGAAAGCATTGCGCTAATCTGAAAATTCATCTTCTTTATGTCTTAAAAAACGTTTTCTTTTTAAAAGTGACCTTCCTTCTGCTTTCCGCTTTCATCGACTAATGTTATCTCCTTAATATCTGATTTAATTTAAATGAAAACAGAACATTTCTTGTCATGGCCTGTAATCTCAGCCATCAATTATCCAGGAGGGTAAATGACATTTAGTCAAAGTTATCACACTTTATTAGACTTGGAGCTAGATCTGGGATGCCGGGACCATTTCCTGTCCTCAAGATGATTTGTGTAGTCATTTGATGCCGGTTGACAACATGTCCAAATAATGTTCACTGCTGAAATCCTTCTAAAAAAAAAAAGGTGTGAATAAAAATCTACAGCAAACTTTTTGCATTTTTATTTTTTTGAAAACCATCTCCCATCTTCTTTAATCTTGAGGTTTGCCCAACTTTGTCCTGATCTATCACAGAAAATCCCAATTAAATCTAATAAAATATTTGGTAGAATCCTCAGAAGATGCACAAAGGATCAATACTGTAAATGGACCTGGGTTAGACGTTTCCTAGGTGGCGCTGTTGGGTGTGAGTGAGCTTCACAGCAGCTGTAGTTTTTTCAAGCTTTATCTAAAAACAAATGAAGAAAAAAAAATGTGACAGACAACTTCTGAAATTCTGACACTTAGTCTTTATTTCTTGTTACTTGACCAGTACATGGACAGAGACAGCTAAGTTTGTATTTATATAGTATATATATTATATTTAAATTTTACATTACACATCTGAATGACAAAGAAGCAGGTAAGAGTCTTTCTACTGTTGTGAATAGAAACAAGCTAACAGGGAAGACTCCCACAATATGAAACAAACAAGAAAAAAAGACCTTATTGCTTCATACAAATCAATAATAATGGCAGTAAGTAGAAGCATAAGAGTAGTAGTAACACGATTATCAAGATCATTATACCAAGATGAGGTTACACCCTACAGTTAACTATAAAAAAAAATGCAGGGGAGAGAAACAGAAATGTGTTTTCTCACGTTACAGTAGTGTTAGTGTTTGGTAATGGTAACCTGCTCTAGAAATAAAAAGTATCTACACGAGCGAGGAGGTCTAAACAAACCGATCCAGTGAGTAGCTGACAGGGAGCCGTGGACTTTTCTGTTTAAAGAAGAAGGCGGAGGACGGATCTGCTGTTTTCATGTTCAGGGATAAATGTTGGGGGCACGGAGAAGAAGTGCAAACCGTGGTGAGATCGAGGTGTAGGATGACAATACCGTACAGCACTTCAAAAAAGGGACAAGATACATTCAGGAGCCCCCCCAGGCAGTGTGGGTCGAAGTTGTGTGGGAGGAAACCAGAGTGTAAGAAGGCAGAAAATAGCTTTTAGTGAAGAGAAGAAACACTGAAAGATGACCGAACACGAACTCCGCTACATGCAGTCTCGACTGTTTGAAAAATTCACTCGCAGGGTGTTTTGATCAGATCTCGTAATCCGCTTTCAGCTTATGTAAAAATTTTTTTTTTAAATATATCGACAACAGTTAATCTCTCATGCGTCAACAGATTCACATTCTTTTCCTTTAACATTCATTCAACTATTTTTCCAGGGCAGCATCTCTCTCCGTTCTGCTTTAGCCACCACTCTCTGCGCGCTCCCTGTCGCCCCCTGGTGCTCCAGAACAGTTACTACAACACTCTGGAAAAGTGACTTCAGCTGATAGCCCTTTAGGGTGCGGCTGGACTTGCCTGTTAGAGCCGGGGCACCTTGTGATTTTTTTAATTATTTTTATTTAATTTTTTTTAGGGAAGGGGGATATTTTTTTATTTTTAAGATGGCTGGGGGTTGCCCTACATTCCGAGCTTGGAGCCCAAATGGCGCCAAAAAGCCCCGTCTCTGGCAGGCTGCCTCAAGGGAACGCACACCTCAGTATTTGGAAGCTACGCCCCTTCCTAAAGGGGACGGAAATGCTTTGTTTCATTGAAAAAACAAAAACAGAAATCAGTCACAAGTGAAGTGAGGGTACGTGAATACTGGATGTTAATGCAGCTAAATAAAAACCCGGGGAGCACCATGTTTAGTCTCAGTAAAGATGGCCAGAGTTCACAGAGGACAGCACGTGCCTTAGTCACAAACTACTCTTGTTGCACGACTAAAAGCGCTAAGCTAGTGAGATCATGGCTAAACATCAAATCACTCACTGACCATGGGGCGATGAGTTTGTGTACATTTTGTGTTTTTCTTTGGCACAGACTCATCACAAAACCCAGCCCACACAGCTCTCCTTTCAGTAAATGGGCGAAAAATGTGCGCTTGTGTGTCGTAAGGTGGAAAGTGTGAGGGTGTAGCTTTGGTATATCCATGCAACAGAGCTGGGCGCTGTAGAGGAAATTCTCGGGTGCCTTGACTCCCCAAACCTGTTCTGGTTGGGCTTCTGGTCAGAGCGTGATTTTCACGTCGGAGCCTGCAAACAGCCGACTACTGCCAGAACCGCGTCGGTGCAGAAGAGCCTCAGATCCACGATGGGTGTCGCATCTACGACTCTAAACATCCATCTAATCAGCCTAACGAAAACGTTGCTATTTTCACGTACTACTCACACAGGAATGCCCTAAGATTTACATTCACATGCAAATATGTGTTTAACAATTCTAAGCTATCATTGTGTTGTGGATTGTCTTTAACGTGAAGTGACCTACACACACCTTGAAGCTGCACTCAGTAAATCTCACTGAACGTTTCAGCTAAAGCAGTCGTGTTCACCAGCCCGGCCTGACAAATGCAAGAAAGAAGGAGATTTCCCCAAATGATTTCACTAGAGTAGAGAAGCAGGCTCTTCCTTATTTTCTTTCATTCTAACAATTATAAAACACAAAAGAGAAGAAATGTGGTCCAGCTTTTTGATAGAGGTAGTAGTTTTAAATCTAACAAACAAAGAAAAAAAAAACAACAAGATTATCCTACATCTATGCATTAAACTACTTGCTCCTAGTCTCTATGTGATTTTTATGAAACTGGTTACATAAAGAAAAAGTGCATCAAAGTAGGCCAATGTGCTTTGGCTGATGCATTTATAGAACAGAAATAATGTGAATTTTTAGTTTTGATGCTTTTATCAAAACAATCGGAAAGAAAACTTTTTTTTTTTAACAAATCATCGTCTACCAAGATAAATCTAATCTCTGGTTGACTGATTGATGCAACTTTCCTCTCAAAAAGACAGAAAAGTAGTTTGAAAGATCTAAAAACTATTCCTACAGTCATATAAGGAATATAAAAATATTCTACTTTTTCTAAAGAACTAACAATATTATTTTAAACAGCAAAACTTTCTCAAATCTGAGGTATATCATCCTGGGAGGAACAAATAATACAGACTATGAAACATCATCATATCATCCTGTTTTGGTTCAGTATGACCACTAATCTAAAATAAAATATATAAACTTTTACAGATGAGTTTAACTCTAAACAAACAGCTTAAACACTAAAAACACTTTCCATGCATACAAATTTCATATAAGAAAATGTAGTTTCAACCGTCACCATAGTGCAGAGATAAACATGCAACACAGAACTGCCACCATCCTAGAAATGATTGTAATGTTTTTTACTTTTCCTGTAACTTAAAAAATGCGCATCCTTCAGAAGCTGCGTGCCTCATTTGAAACCACGCTGCTCCAGATTGTCTTCTTGCATAAAAAAAAAAAAAAAAAAAATCACCCTTACTCCAAACGCTTCAGCTCCCTGCATCTGTTTAAACTGATGGGAGTTTAATTTCCGGGATCAGAGGAGAGAGAAGTTGCCTCCACTTTATTTTTAGTGGAAAAGTAAATCTACAGAGCCAGGCTGGGGAAGATGGCAGCATCCAATTGTCGTATCTTAAAAATGAACTCAGACCAAGTGCAGCTTTGCTTCAGTGCGCTCTGTTCTAACTAGGCTCTAAAATAACCTAACACATCATGTCTAACACATCATGCTACGGTAAGACCACGTGATGAAACCTGCACGACTCTGGATGCACCTTTTTTTTTTTTTTTCCTCACCGTTCCTCTTATGGCAGGAGATCAGCTTCCTCATAAGCGCTGCAGAGAGAGATGCTGCCAGTTTCTCACAAACAACATGAACTACTTTCCAAAATCCACATGCATTTGTCCGTTTTTATTTATTTACCTTTGTGGCACCCCCAAAAAGTTCTGCTTTCCTTCTCATTTTTTTTTTTTTTTTTACCTTAAAAACAAACAGGAGCTTTTAAATTACATATCGGTGTGTGGGTAACCAGTTGTTTGTGTAGGTGCGTGAGTGTGTGTGTCTTTTCTCGGGGGAAGAGGAAGGGGATTAGAGGGGTGCAGGCAAATTAAATGAGGAACACTTAGCAAACACAAGAATGACACTTCAAGAGCAAAACCAGCAGTTTAAATCTTTAAGTGTGGGGTGAAAGGGGTTTGGGGTGGATCGTCAAAGGTCTGCCGGATGTGTTAGAGGCAGTACAGATGGTATTTTACAGTGACAAGGGGAAGAAGATGGCAGACAAAGATGAAGACAGCGAGAGAGAGAAAGCCGCCAGCTGACACTCATCATCAAGCCTTATTTTTGATCCTCTTCTCCCCTCTCCACCCGCCACTACCCCTCTTCCTCCCTTTTCTCTGTGGCTCCTCAGCAGGACACCTCCATAGTCTGGGAGACCGCGCCGACACCCTCGCCGCTGTCGGAGTTGGTGCAGGCGCGGGAGCGGGACCCCTCCACGGAGCCGGCGCTGGTCAGGGAGGCTGTCCTGGAGCGGGCCAGGCGGGTCATGCTGGCAGAGGGCACTGAGAAGAGGAAGAGGAGAAGAAGAGGCAGTTAAATTTTTGGAAAGAGTCCCTCTCCAGCCCCCCCCCCCAAAAAAAAAACAAAAAACAACGTAATGAGGTAATGTCAGGGAGATGTAGGGAGGACATGCTAATGCGAATAACTGAAGATTATTCCTCTTTTTCAGCTGACTGGCTTGTAAAGCAGCCATTAAAGAAAATTGGGCTGTAAAAAAAGCTGCTAATGTGTCGGCAGAGAGACACATCGTTGGCACCATGCATATTATTCTCAGGTTACGACACACAAACATCATTGGGAATAAGCAGAAGAGCTATATTTTAAATAAATGTATTCAGTTCATCTATTTTATTAAGTAAATCCAATGGCCACGTCACTTTCTGAAATGATTTGTTTCATCTGTACGAAAAGGTCAGTACAGATGACCTTTACTGTACTGTAATGCTAAAGGTCATCTTTAGCATTACTGTAAGGATAACTGATTGATTGATTTGTCAATTTGCGATATGTTAATAGTCAAAGTGTTGCACCACACATCTTAACCAGTATTTGGACAAATCTTGCTAAAGACGTAAATAAAAATTGTCCCACTGTTTCAGTTTCCACCACCTGCAAATGATAAAAATCCATGCTGTGTGAAATCAGGCCGTTACGAAGCCCTGATCTCCCAAAGACCGAGTTTCAGCCGAGCTGAAATGGTGTAAGAAAGCAAGACAGACTACAATGCTGACTCAGTTACACCTGTTTTCTCAGGAGGAAAGGGTAAAAAGCAGCTTGTGAAAAAACACCCAAAAGATTTGACCAAAGTCATGTTGCTTGGAGGCAGTTGCGCCACATTTTAGGGAACGATATGTAAACTACCGAATTTGAAGAAAGTAAAATAAAATCTCCATGAATTCTCTCTCGTCCTCCCGGCATTTACACACAGGACATCATCTTGGTATTTTTTTCCAGATAGAGGGAAAAATGTAGTCAGATTTCTTGTGAAATTATTGAAAAGAAGGCTACGTATCTTTTCATACAGTGTATGAAAACATCTGGTTTTCAGCAGATATGCAAAAATATCCACCTGGAGGTCTCGACTCCCAGTGGCACCCATTTTTGCATATGCTTAAATTTTCATTCGAAAACATCCATTTGTTTGTTGTGACTTTAATTTGAATGCTTTTGCTCAAAGCTAAGCATAACTCCATGCAAAGAGCATAATCGGGGATGCGATGGAGTAGGAAATGGGGGAACGGGGAGTGAGGACAGTGTATTTTTCCACTGAAGGAAAAATTTGGTCTGATTAAAAAAAGAAAAATAAAAAAAGTGAAACAGATAATCACAGCCCAAAAAATATTATAATATTCATAACCCAAGAGATGAACCAAAAACAAAATGGAAATAAATTTGAAAATGCCATTGAAGAGGGCAGCAAGTAAGAGGTCAGAGCTGAATGGGAAGGAGGAAGTACCTGGCCCTCCACTTAACCTCCGATCCTTCACATTAGCGACTGAAAGAACGGGGCAAGGAAGACAGAGGGCAAGATTAACAATTCATCTCCCTCTGCATCAAAACATTTTCTTCATATGCACACTAGAAATATTTCTTCATTGCTTTTGCTAATCTTGGTACAAGTTCAGGATACTCACTGTAGCCCATTCCCTGCAGGAAATACTTGAAGGCTTCAGTCAGCTTCCCTGGCTGGAAGAAAGTTCATGGGATTTTAATTCAGTCACACTGTAAATGCTGCCGTCATTGTTTGCCTGGATGTTTGTTTTTGTTTGGCAGGAAGTCTTGTGTTTGTGATGTTACCTGCGTGAGCTGTGGCAGTCCACCAGAGTCAGCCATCTGCCATGAGAAGAAATCAAACATCATCGCTAAGATTTAAACATTTCAGACGTTGTTTGCATCAGATTAGCAACGGCAGCATGCATCAGTACCCACAGGGAGTATTTTAGACCACATTTTGTTTTTTATTCTTTTTGCAGTTAAAATGTGCCTTTACGCAGATGACAAAGTACTTTATTCATTTGGCTCGACTTAAAGCCGAACGGTTGATAAACTTCGTTCTGCCTTAAGATTTTGTCCTTTATGTTAATAAAACCAAATTAAGTACGATAAAGATGAAGTTACCTTTAGGAAGGTGGTGTTGGTTGGATCCAGCTTGGAGTTGCACTCAACCTTGAAGACAAAATTAGATAAAATATTGCATTGTTTGGTCATACATCAGTTTTACTTAGTGTTAGCATTTTTATAGCAGCTCCAGTAGAGGAGATTTTTTTTTTAAATATTCAGCCAGATTGACTGGGTTTTATTTTTCTTGCATTTTATTTCTCATTTTCATTACGTACAACTCTAAAATCCATAAACCTTGCTCAGAATTAGCAACACACGTTCCAGTGGACTGCGTGTCTGTAACCCAGATGGTGCAGCGTGCTGCTGCAGAGATGAGTCAGTCTGGCTGCCAGAGGCTCGGCTGAACTGTTCACACACATAAACTAGACAGATGTGCACTAATTCACATAATGCAACACTGCCCAGACACAAACGCACAAAGTGAACATCACACACATGGCAGCTCTTTTCACTCTGCTGCATTTAATCTCGGATGCTAATTGATAAAAATGCAGGTCAGGCCACAGGACAGGAATAGAAAACGGGTGAAAATGTCAAACATAGAAAAATTATTCATTCATATCTCAATGTAAGTAGACCACTTCAGCAGCTCCTGCATCGTCAACGAGAAAACGTTGAATATTAAACTCAAACCGCATCTGTTAGAGCCAACAAAGCAACTTCTGTTTACATCCCTTCTCCTCCGCATCTTCATCTCCGTTTGACTTTCCTTTCTGTGGGATGTTTCATAATAACATCCCTCCCTGCTGCATCTCCGTCGGAAAGAGGAGAATCTGGGCACGCTGCAGATTAACTGGTGCAGAAGGGCATGCATATCTGGGCCACTTCAAACAAGGGAACCCCAGAGACACAGCCAAGCCATCTGTCCCTTTGAGAATACACACACCCACACACACACACACACACACACACACACACACGCATGCATATCTGCACACGTATAGTATCGCAGGCATGCATCATCCTCATAAAGACACACAGATGGACAGCATTCCTGCAGGGGCAGCGGGGTTGTGGAGTAAGAGGGCCGGGTTTCTGCTGGCTGACCTGTTTCTGTTTACCTGAATGAGAACAAACAGTAGCTGACTGAATTAACGAGCCAAGAACAAAACACTGAACGGAGAACAAAACACTGAACGGAGAACAAAACACTGAACGGAGAACAAAACACTGAACGGAGAACAAAACACTGAACGGAGCAGGGAGGGGAGGGCGGTCCGCTGCCTGGAGCTCCAGTTAGATTATTGCTTATTTACTCTGACTCACATTGACAGGCTCTGCTAAATGAGGAAGGCTGCTGACAGAAGAACTGATTTTTTACAAAACACTGATCTCATGTATTAGACTTTTGAAACGTCTAGCTCGGGGGTGTCCAAAGTGTGGCCTGTGGGCCGTTCTCGGCCCTCAGGGGGATTCTGTGGGGTCAGCAGCAAAACGGTGTCATTTTGACCATGACTGAGGAGATTCATTCAACTGGACACTTTATGCAAATCTTCAGGGAATTCTTTTTATTTATTTCATTTTTATAAAGAAGAAAATGAGATATGGAGTACAATACAAGTTTTTGATATCTGATGATATGTGTGACGACATTTGCAAACGTTTGGGTAACCATTCAGAAAATCCGACTAAATTGTCACCAACAGCAGTTCAGCTGACATCTTGTCAGCGCTGAACTAAAGGGCTGTTTCACAGTTTTTTGATTTGCATTTCATTGCCTTCAGTTCAAATATTAAATTAGGCTATCTTGCTTTCTAATTTAGTCTAAAGTGCTACTCTGAACACAGTTTAGGACTGAATCGTTTTATGAAAGATTTCTTAATGCACAACATATGGACAAGTCAAACCTTCACGGATGAAACTGTTCAGAAAACAGTTTGTTTGAAAAGAATAGATTTTCGTTTTTGTCAAATATTTTAGTACATTTTTGTCTAGTCACATTTTCTTTTGCCCCAGATTGTATAAAGTCTCATCGTTACTATTAGCTGGCTGTGTTGTTCTACCTAAACGTGGATTATGATGTCGGACTCACCACTCCCTCTTCGGCAGGAGCGTTGTCTCCCACAACCAGCATCACTGGACACCTGCAGAAAACCCGTAACCATTTAGGATGTTCTTTTAAATTCTCTTGGTTTTACTGAACACTTTACTCTCAAAGACTTTGCAACTTTTTTGAACAAAGAAACAAAACTCCTCTTTTACTATATTCATGGAAAGTCATGTTATAATCAATGCAAAACAACTATAACTATGAATTTTTACCATGTAAAACCAACAGTGGTCCTTTGTAGTCAGGCATGGTCAAAATCATAAAGCATGTATGAAGGTGTACAGTAAAAATAAGTTCCTGAAAACTCACTTCAAGGTCTTGGCATTAATCGTTGTCCCACCACGGTTCATCTCCAGGTCCCTCCGACTGAAGCAAACAAACAAAAGAGGAAAACCGTGCGAGTTTGAGCCTCTCTGTCACGTAAAAGGTTTTGCCTTTCAGACTGGAACAAGATTGCTGGTTTGCTCGTTCACCTGTTGTACATGTTCCAGAAAAGCTGGAGGTTTTGGTGGTTGATGGAGTTGGTTATCTGTTGTCGGTAACTCTGAACCAGTTCTGTGTTGTTCACCATTTCGTCCTGCGCACACACAAAGCACGGATGGATCCAAATGATTTATTTACTGTATTCTGTTTGTTTTTGTAACTCGATTATTATGTTTCCGATTCTAAAAAAAAAAAAAAAAACATAAGAGAAATAGAAAAAAGAAAAAAAAGTCTGATCTTACCTGGCTGAAAAGATGTGGCAGCACAGTGTCTGGGATGGTGCTGGTCAGACCCGACAGCTAAAGGTGCAACAACGACACACGTTTACCGACAGCTGCTTAACACAAAAACCCCACCTGACTTTACAAAGACCTGAATTAGAAGTAGGATCAAAAAGAGGCACCTTGGAGGCAGCCCAGTCAATCCATCCTTTGCCGTTCGGGTCGATGTTGAGCAGAACCAAACCCTCCACCATGTCAGGGAACAACAGCTGAGCAAAGAAGCACAACAGCTACTTTAATGGAAAGAAAGCCACTTATTAATTAGTGCAGCTCCTTACATTTACATCATTTTAGGTATAAATGTGAAGTAACAGTCCATGTTTTAATTATGGTATTTTTCAGGAAAATCTGTGATTAAATTCATACCACAGCAATGTACTCTTTTATGTTTTCCATTTATTTTGATAAATTATTACAAAATAACTGCAGTGGTTGCTGTAGCTACAAAAACTTAGGTCAAGTCAACCAAATAGGAAAAAAAAAAAAAATCTACATTTTTGGGTCCATTTTTACATGCAGCAAATGGTTAAAATGTGCCTAAAGCTGAGACATTATTAAACATTAACTGGAACCTAATGCAGTGGAAAACGGTAAACACTTAAAGATTGGTAAAGAAGTTGATAATTGACAAAGAGGTGCAGGATATAGGATAAGAGTTTAACTCACAGCGAATTTGGCCAGAATATAAGCTCCAGCGCCGACTCCGATCCCAACGATGCTCTTGAATCTGATAATAACAATAATAAGATCAGCAAAACATTACAAGTAATCTACCCAGAATAATTGTTAGAAGCAAATATAAATCTCAGCTGAATCAAGTTTAAAAACAAAACGTTATAGGAGAAATGCAATCATTACCTTATGGCTACATTTGTTTAATACTTTATAAATGTTGTAAAATGAAGCATAAAGCTCCAAATGGTTTTTCCCACCAACAGTGTTTGGTTTCTCAGACACTGATATAAATTGTAAATGTACAAGCAATTCAGTTTTAATGCAAATGACACCAACCCAAAATGCTGCACAACAGTGGGCAGCATCCCAGCCAGCTGGTCCATGGTGGGATACTGGTACCTGTGGAGGAAAATGACACAGTTTGTCCTTTTAATTCAACTTATAGACAAATTATGTCCTTCAACAGATAATCAAACCTTTTTAGTCCATAATTTATCAATGGCTTTACACTTTTTGTCAGGCTTGTCATAGAGTTTTTTCATTTTAGGATTCTGTAATCTTTACCCTTTTCTTGACTATATATAAATCCTTATTCCAGTATTAGTTGCACCGATAAAGTAATGTAAAAAACAAAACAAAAAAGAAAACAAAAGCAAACAAGGAATTATGCTTAAAATTATAGTTTAGTAAAAATTACATTAAAAACAAATAAAGAATTGGTGTCTTTGGAAACTTAATCATGCTCAGCTTAATTACAGGCATAAGCCTTTGATAATTAAAGTGTTCAATGATGAACATGTTCTCCATTCAACAATCAAATTTGTCTTTTTAAAACATGAAATGCTTCATACCCTTGTGGGAACTGCGTAGCTCCGACGTGTTGTCCTGGGGCGTCGACATGACAAATCACAAAGTGCTTGGTGATCTCCTGCATGTCCTCGTTATTGAAGAAGGGATTGAAGCACATTTTGTCTGGAGGAGGAAAAAAGCACAATGATGGAGGGACAGGAGCAGGGAAATGTAAGCTTACTGAATATGCATCACACTATGGCTAGCCCTGATTATTGCTAATGTGGCTAATTATTAACAGTTCTAAAATTGTTATTCAGGTTTATAAGAAGTGCAAAGTATTAGTCTAAAATAAAAAAAAATGCAAACATTTTCTTTGATTTCAAAATATATCTTGCAATTTTAAGGATCAACTTTCTCTATGATGAGCTGTAATGGTAACTTTAACTAGTTAAAGTTAACTATAATGCTTTCAAATTTCTCTAATAATTCTCTATATTTTAGTGTGACTGAAATATTCAATTGAAATATGCCTTAATAGTAAAACCATCGCTTTAATTGTATAAATTCACAATATTCAAACACATTTTAATGTTATACCTGATGACAATGTAGTCATAGCTAACTAAAGCTAAACTTTAATTTGTCATATTTTCCCTAATAGAACAAGTTTGGGGGGATTGAAATGTGTCGAAATATTCAGCTTTAACTCAATATTTGTGAGATTGGGTTTCATTTTGCATAATGGCTTCTTGATTGAATAACTTTCTAATACAATCTGTGGAAGCAATAAACATGCAGTTACGGTTAGCCTGAGCCAAAACTAAATGGTACCTGGTCATATATTTAAATAACTTGTGTTTAGAAAATATTTCAAGCCCAAACTAAGTATTAGTGCATTTAGTGCAAGCTAAACTGTCACGTTTTTCTCATTCCAGTGTCAAAACAATGAAAACAATGAAACTGTTGGTTTTATCACTTAATTAAAGTTTTAATCTAAACCGAACATGAGAAATATGTAAAACAAAACATAAAACAGAAGTGATTCTTGTTTTCATCTGCGGTATATAAAAAAAAAAAAAAAAGATATTTCCAAGAACTTTTTAACTTTCCAAAATGTCCGACTGCCTTACTTGATGTTTCTTGGTTGTTGACACTAATTTCGGTGCCTGCCACGCTCCATCTGACTTAAAATTTAAAAATATTTTTAGTTTCTGATATTCAGAGAATCCAGCTTGTTGTGGCAGTGACTCACAAAGGATTAGTTTGAAACTTAGAGCCCTATTTCCTGAAGCGCGGTGGAAGAAACTCGGAACATTAAACTCTGGAATAGCTTAATCTATAGTGTCAGCGCTTCCTCTGCCCTCCTCCCACCGGTTCTGCGGTCGTCCTACTTTCAGCCCATGTGTGTCCGAGTCAGTGAAACCACACAGCAACAATGTTTCCTCCTCAGGGCTCTGACAGAGCGGCTTTAATTAAACGAACCAATTAACATGACAACTGGGTTAGAAGAGAAAAGTAGGGGAAGACAGGAAAAGAGGTAGATGCAACAGAATGTGGTCATTACATTAAGTGAGCATCACTGAGGTGAGAACTTGCCCATCAGCAACACGCTGAATCGTCGACGCACGCTCAGTGTGTCTGCACTCCCACCGACTCCATGACCTACTTTCTCTTTTTGGACTTTCTTTACCTCACCCCATGCAAAAGCTCGTATTCTCCTCCTGTCTTCATCCTGCGCTTTCTCTGCAGTCAGATTTAATACTTTAGCTCCATCATCTGCAACAATTCCTGCTGCCTGACCTCTTTTCTTAAACTGACCCTCTGCATGCTCACTTCTAATCCCTTTCTCTTCATTTCATTTTCCATGTAGCCCCCCCGCATCCCGTACACACACATACGCACACGCGATCCTTGTTTCATGTTCTCCCCTCTTCGGTGGTCCTCATCAGGCCTCTGGCAGACTTCCCCGCCATCTGCTTATTAAGCCTTATTTTGACGGAAGACTGAATTTCCACCCAATTTCAGCCGTGTTTCTCTGCATTTTGTGCATTTTCCTCTGTCCTTTGGTTAAATGACAAGCTGCAGATACTAAGAGTCATGTGGCTCTGCTGCAGGAAAATACATTAAGACATTTGTTATTAATTTTTAGTTTATAGGGTTGATAATTAGATTTTTTTTCCCCCTTAACTTCTGAATTTAGGCAGAACCAGGCGACAAAGCAGCAGGTCAGATAACAAAAACAAGCTGATATCTGCAGTCATGCCAGCATTGGATGGTGCACAAAGCCCCCCACCACCATCCTTATCCCACCTTCACTCATCGCGGCAGCGCCGCATTGCTGCTGGTTGGCCCCACCCACTTTTCTCTGCAGGATAGGGATGTTTTTCTGACCTACATTTCATCCATGCCTCTTTCATCACCTCTTTACTATTTTCGTCTTTGCATTTTTACACAACCGCCCCTCTGAGGCAGTTTCTGTCTCCGTATCGTTTCTCTAGGGTCTGATTTAATGAAATACCAATCAGCTAGTGTTGCATTCAGGCATGCAAGGCGTTCGTTCAGCGACCTTCAACTTTGACATAAATGTGGTGACAGATCAACACAGAGATTGAGGCGATCGTTGTGCAGCATGCAAGTCATAATACCTGCTTCAGCTTTTTGAAATTGTACTTTTGTCCTCATTCAGGATAAATGAACATTTATTTTACTAGATGAACTCGATAACTGGGTTTGTCTTCATTTGCATAATTGACTTTGTCCATTTTTCACACTTACATCTGTGTGATTATCCTGATTATCTGCCGTTCTAAAGCCATTCTAAGCTGCATAAGTTAAACTAGGCTGTCCTAACTGGGTTAAAGTTGGATTTTAACATTTTTTAGAGGTTAAATAATTAGCTACTTATTCTAAGTCATCTCCATTACACTGGCTTGAAATAAGTAGAGTAACAAATTAAACCTTTCGACTGTCTTCAGTGATTATATTTTATTTTAAAAGAAGGCAGAACTGGTGATGTTTAAAACTAATTGAAACCTAAGTACTTGTCTGAAATGTATTTTACATGTGTATTTTTGCGTCCTTATTAATCTCAAGTAAAGCATTGTATATGGTCTTCTCTTTATTGTAGGCATCAATTTTTTGTATTAATATAAAAAATGTGTGCTTTTGTCATGAATCTACCTGGTTGCACATTTGCGTATTTTAATGATATGTTTTAGACACAACTAGTCTTGAATCTTGTCATCTTCAGATGTAATGAAAAAGAGAAAAAGTTAAACATAATATTGTCGCCATCAGTATTTTGAGTTTGGCTTCAGTGAATGAGAATCAGTAATAAAAACTACTCCAAAAATATTGAAATACTCAGTTCATTAGGTTTGTTTACTACCTGGCATATTTACATCAGGATTTTAAAATGGTTAAATTGGTAAAAAGTCAAATTTTTTATTGGCTATTGAACAAAATCATCAGTACAAACAAAGACTGAACTTCATGTAAACATTCACTACAGCCTCAAGCTTTTATACCTCATTAGAAGCTTTGAAAAAGATACTTTGAAGCTGACTAAATGGGTTTCCAGCATCTTCTTTAGTGGCAAAAGTATTCTGACAACAGTCTGAATGCTGGCCTTGTGTTTTTTGTAGTTAGTATATAACATAACCGTAATGAATTTGCACACAATAGTCACCATACAAAAATCTCACTCATTGTGGCCAGTTCCTTTTTTCTTGCTCTTCTCGTTTCATCTTCCTCAAAGATGAAATTCTGATATATATATATTTATATATATATATATATATATATATTTTTTTTTGCACTAATTTAAAAATGTCTTCCTTTATTTTCGTAGATATGACTTTAGCCTTACGCCGTGTTGCATATTAGACAGAAAAGTCGGGATGTCTAATTGAAACATGACAAAGAGAGCCAATTATCGCCTCTGAGACCTGCAGAAACATCAACCTCTGGTAACACTGTTTTTTCTTTCGAATACTCACGGTTCAATCCCACATCATGGTAGGTGAGGATCGCAGGCTTGTTGCCCTTGGGAGCGCCTCGGATCACCACATGCAGCATCCCGTAAGGGGTCTCCACATCATGTTCCTGTGACACATGCAGAGACACAAACTCATCCGGTGGCTCAACAAACACATGAATCCATCTGGACTAGACTACATTAACCTGACCTTCACTAAGCTTCACGTCTGCACTACTAAAAACCCACTAAACTGTTTATTATTGGATCAAAATTGTTCCAAATAATTAAGAAAAAAAAAAGGATTGAAAGATAAACACAAATATGATGAAATATAATTTAAAAGGCATCATCAAAAGTGTTAATAAAATCTCAGTTTCATCTTTGATGGACTGGAAGTTACACCTCTTTAACCATGAAACTATAGTTTTCTTTCATATCTGATTTTTTCTAATCTAAAACAAAATTGTTTTCTGGACATTTCATACAGACCGTGCATGATTTAATACCCAAGAAGGCTTTGGACTCACTTTGACAACCAGTGGCTGAAAGTGATTTCCAATAATCTAATCTGGGTATACCCTAAGTCAATGTAGTTACTTAGCATAGTAACACCAAGTCACTTGGCGTTGCTGTGGTTCGATCAGAATCTGTTACAAGGATTAATTGGCCGAAACTGGGAAAAAAACCTAAATAAGTAGAAATGAGATGTGATACAACGGTTTTAGAAAATAATATGCAATTAAAATGTTTGTCAAATCTGAGCCTTTTTATTCTGAAAAAATAAGAAAATAAATAAACTGATCTGAACTGATATGTACTATTTCCAGTGAATATATGCTAAACGGACGATTTGGCAACACTTGACAAAAATGGACAAATAAAGGGACAAACGGACCCAGAGTTAACCAGAACAGAAATAAAAGCAAAGCTTTCACATATACGCACATTGTGAATTCACCTGCGGTGATATAAACGATTGATAGTTTATGGCAGAATGGATGGAAAAAGTCGTTTACATACTGTCAATTTTAGCTGTGAAAAATAAATCTGGGACTTTCTATTCCAAGATGGGCCACAAAAGAAATAAATCTGATGCAGATTCATACATTGAGGTAGAGGTTTTGAAATCAAGATAAAAAAAAAAAAAAGATTTAAAAGATTATCTTTATTCAACGTTTATCTAATGTAATTATGCGTTGTAATGTTGTGCTTTCTTGTAGTTTGGATATATTTAACAAATGGAAGAAAAAAAATAAGCATTTTTCATCATTGACTCCTTGCAAGTATTTCATTATGTTAAAAATATTACATCACTCAAATGACAAATCATAAGCAGATATTGTCACTAGACATGAACAGCAATTTAGAGCGTGAGTCATAGCCTCCATGTTCAAATAGAGATATGTGAATCCAAAACAGAGCGCTGCAGAAAGAGGCAGAAGTCGCATCATCAGCTGAGCCGTGAATCAAAACATCTCATGTTATGACCCACATTTTGTCTGCTGGTCACAGCCAGGCAAACGCAAAATGGAGGTATGAAGCAAATGTAACTGCACACACACACACACACACACACGCACACACACACACACACACACACACACACACACGTTTGTGTTGCTATCTTTGTGGGGACTTTCCATTGACTTCCATTCATTTCTACAGCCTAAACCTTACCTTTACCCTTTTCCTAACCTGACCCCTGACCCAAAAACAGGGTTTCCCCTTGTGGGGACCAGGCTCCTGTCCCCACAAGGAGCAATTGGTCCCCACAACGTAGTATATGTCAGGAAAATCGTCCCCACAAGGTATTACAAACAAACGCACATGCACGCACACACACACACACGCGCGCACACACACGCGCACGCACGCACGCACGCACGCACGTACGCACACACACACAGAGCATTGATCACTGTAACTGGATTCATGCTTTAAGCTGCACTGAAACCCCTCTGATGATGCTGCTGCAGCCTCTCCTCTCTGGATCAAACGGACCCTAAAATATGCTCTGACATCACACCATTACCGTCCTCATCCCTGCATGTTTTTTTTTTTTTTTTTTTTTTTTTTTTTTACCCAGACCTGAGTATGAACATCTGCTGCTGTCAATCTTCCAGTCTGGAGAAACACAAACATTCATGGCTATTTAAATCTATCCCTGCATAGCATGAAATAATAATAAACACACAGGCAGCAGTTAAGTGCCAGAATTTTCCATAATCCTCTCAAAAGCAGAGAGTCATGCAGGATAGTTATGAATTAATCCAGTCCGCTTATCTCGCTGTTAGTTCAGCTTTGAAATCAGTGTCATCCACAGTCAGCGTTCTAATTTAAGGCAGTTACTGCATGAGGAGGTGTGTTTCCAGTCTGCTTCAGTGTGTGCATCAACACAGCAGAAAAGACAAAAATGACCTACAAACATTAAGTTTTTGCCAATAACAACATGCTGGCATGATTCCTCTGTAGGAAGAGTCGAAGGAGAAAGGAGGTGAGCAGTAAACGTTTTCTCGCCTTAAATTAGATTTTTAAAAATTCAAATATTCCTCCTCAGATTGGCTTCTGAGATTGAGCTTCAGGATGTCAACATGCAACTGCGTTTGTGCGCCGATATGTGTCAGTGGGACAAACTCAGAGGATGGAGCATCGCTTGGTGCTGATGCTGCAGGACAAAGCGGACCCCACACCAGCACACGTAATGCACGTTTTCACATCGAGCAGAAGCGACAACAGTCTAAATAAAATCTCCCATTGGTGTTATTCTGTTTGCACTCGTCACTCACCCCGTCCCAACACTCAGGCATGGTTAACTGACGGCTGCAGGGAAGGCAGACGAGCGGTCAGACCTCTCCTGTTTTACGGGACTAGGTCCTGGTGATGCGCTCGCTGGAGGATGGAGGGCTGGATGGAGAATGCCGCAGAGTCTTTGTCTGCTCTGCTCTGCAGCCAACAACGCGCTCTTATCCTGGGAGCAGCCGCCCCTCCTCTCTCTTTCCTCCCTCACACATCCCTCACCCTGCCTCACGTACTCCACGCGGCGGAGGCAGGAGAGCATGGGCAGCATGTTGGTGATAGGCTCAGAGAGCTGCAGCCCCTCGCTCTCTTATTGGCTCGACTATCATGTCAGTTATCAGAGGCTCTCTCATCAGCACCGCTGTGCCTGATTTGATGCGATGTTTACCTGTTTTCCCTCTATGACCTTGTTTTGCTCGTAACTTCTGACAAATAAATTAGGCCAATAGTTACACAGTTAATTACAGATTGCACTGGATTATGTCAGCAACGCAAATGCAGACATATGATGTGTATGGTTTTTTTTTGTTTTGTTTTGTTAACCCCTTTGTTAAAAGCAGCATGACTAACAATTGTTTATTACAGAATCAGTCATTATTTTGCACATCGTTTCACTCACGTTGGATCCAATAGGTTTACACACACACACACACACACACACACACACACACACACACACACACACACACACACACACACAATCTTTTTTATTAAACAAATGAGACCAGAATTCTGCCAAATCATTTCTAAACATTTTCTCTGAACAACAAATATATTTGGGGAAACAATATGTAAAATTTTATTGAATAATCTTTTTGCAGAAGCATGCACACTTTCGTGTATTAGGATTCGGTGGATTTAATGCAAAAAGAATTCTGAAAAAAAGTAAAACATGGCCACTCTAGTGGAGTTCAAATTGCAAATTTACCTGCCTTCCCGTCTCTAGCACTAGTCTCCCATTCAACGAGATAAGTCAACGCTTTAGGCACAGCATAGCGGCTCCTTTCTTTTCCATCTAATAAGCAGCCCAACAAAACCAGAGACTAAACCCCAACGAAATGGCATCAGCATCACCTCCACTAATTGAACCAGCAACGAGTGAAAATACTTTCAGAACATAATTAACAGCTGTGGAGTATTTGTGCAGGAAGTCGATGGGCACAGCAGCGCAAATCAACAGAAAAGACACAATGGGATATGTAAATTCATCTGGTGGCTTCATGCATATAAAAAAGTAAATAAATGGGCATCTTCAACCTGCAAAACTCTGGCTCAAGGATAAAATCTGCAATGCTTTTATTCAATGCACAACATTTTTCACACATCTGTAGTGACAGCGTTGTGACCTTGACTCTCCCATCTCGTCATATGGGAGCTGCAACAACCCAGCGATGAAGCAGAGTCAGGCTCACAACGCTGTATGATGTTCACAGACACCAAACCCACATTTCTCTCCAGTTAAAGCAACATGCGCCACGGTGGAGAACCAGCAGCCTACGTGCAAATCAAGGTGGCAGCAATGGTGTGCCGACTGCAGAGCCTTCCTCTCTCCCTGCTCTGTGCTGACACTCATCAACAAGCCCTTTGTCCTTCCTCTACGACTTCCACTCGCCCTTTTCCCCCCTCGATCTTTCACGTTTTTTTAAACTCCGTCCGTCCCACTTTTTTTTGTTCCTGCTGACAGATCACTCAGGATCTTTCCCCTGCTGTCATTGTCTTTGTCCCCCTTTTTCACCCAGACAAGCAGGAGATTAACTCTCTGCTTGCTGACTCTGCATCTCCCCATCAGCTTCAAACATATAAACATCCACGCTCAGCATAGCTGATTCACTGGTGTTCACATCAAATTGCTTGATTATTCTTGGATTTTTTTTTTTTTTGCCTTACTCTAAATGTTATTCTATAATAATTATAATGCATAAAAACATTTTGTTTGGTGATGCAATTCTCTGAAATCTCTTCTTTTCTGTTGTCGTGACCTCATGAACTGGGTGTTGACCGTGTTTAAAAGGTGAAAATGTAAAAACAAATGACATTATATCGTAGCTGTGTAGGTTAAAAGATTAGAGCAGAAGGGAATAAAACAACGTCCGAAAAGTCGTCCTCACCTTTTCACTGAAACTGATTTCAGAGTGAACAATTTAGCAAGTCACTGTTTAAAAATAATCACACATCACGCTGAACCTTCCTGCTTCATTGTCACAGTACCTGAGATCTCAGGCGAGGTGGGGTGTGACGACAGGAGAGAGAGAGAGAAGTGTTTGTTGAGTTTCTTTCTGTCACACTTTGACTGCCACTTATCACATAAGGAACTGAAGTTATGATCAGCAAAACCAGTCAGGACTGATCCACGTGATTCTGAAATGGTGTATTAAAGTTCGGAAACTGCGAAACATTCACGTTTGGCCTCGAGCAACTTGGAGTCAAGGAGTTTGGACGGCTGAGAAACAGTCCAGTCCTTTGCCTCTGACGTGTCAAATTCAGGAGAGTCTGAGAACGCTGTAGCTCCGCGTCCTGCAGGATCCTGAAGCACCGGCTTCAGCTGCAGTCTCTACGCCTTCTGAATCATGTCCATACGGTTGAACTGGATGTGCTTCACAGTCTGCTTGGGTTACCTTTTTACCCTCCATAATTTCCTCCTCGCTAACGTAGTTGTTAGCTCAAAACTTGAAGTCGTCTGAAAAGCTCACTGCTGCAGTAAGCTTTCGTGGTAGGCTACTGACTGCTGATTACAACTCCACAAAGCTCCACTTCAGAGGCTTAATATGACATGAAAACATATTTCAGGGTGACAACTGCTTTACAGGTAGCGCAGGAAGGTCAGGACTCCTGGACTCAGCCATCTTGGGTTTGATTCGCGACCTTCGAACTTTGCTTCAAATATTCCTCCTCTAGTAATCTTTTTCTATTTCCTGTCTGATCATTGCAAATAAATTCCATTAGTGCCACAAAATATACATATAAAAAACGTTTTTACAAAAACTTCTTAAAAGCAAACATTGTTTTTGTGCATGAGAGCAACAAAGTCTTGAATTCCCCATCCAGATGAATCACACACTCCATGCAACTCTGCATAAAATTAGTGTCTATTACTTTCAGGACAAGCAGCTATTATCTCAGGGATTGGAATAAAATATTCATTCCAGTTTATCAAAGCATGCAGCTCAAAGGGATGACCACAAAAAACAAACAAACAAAAACACCCCCCAAAAACCAAGAACCGCCACAGTGTGAGAAAACAGAAACAACAGTAATAATTGAAGAGTAGAGGAGTGAGCGGGTTCGTACCTTCCAGTCGCCTGGTGGCATCAGTTGTTCAGGGCATTCCTGGTCAGGGAGGCAAGCACATAAAACACATAAAAACTATTATGTCAAAATAAGAAAACATGGATGAACTTTACTGTCCTGCATACAAGGAACAGAACATCTACTGTCGTAGAGACGACAGAAGCGCTCCGCGGCTCCAAACAAGGCATAAGGCAGCGTATTTACCATCAGCTGCAGCGTTAGAAGCATTAAAAAAAAGTCACAAACTTTAAAATAAAAGGTATTTCATGCCTTTGAGTTTCCAACGTCTCTCAACGTAATCAGCCTATTTGGGCGTTTCAGCCTTTTGTTTGTTTGTTTGTTTGTTTTTTTGTTAAAAATGAAACCAGCATCAATATAGTCTGGCATTTTTTTAAAGAATCTACAAAGTATACTTTTGTAGATTCTTGTTTTGCAATATAATATCAATTAATTAAAATATATTGGGGGAAATTAATGACTGCATGCATATTCCGTTCCTTTAAAGAGACTTTCCATATTGAACAGAAGTCCAGCTAAAAGATTTGTCACAAAGAGTGAAATGAAGATTACCAGAGAGCAGTCAGTGTAAGTCTTTGCTTTTTCCATTATCCCAAAGCGTTTTACCAACAACCAATCAAAAGCAGAATAATTCGGAGAGTGGAGTGGAAGATGAGGATATCCTAACAAAACAAACACTAGAATCTGAAGGTGTTAAATTTCACATTAAAACAAAGCCAAGTTTCTGGTTTTGTGTGCGCAAACTTAAGTGCTCTAACAAAGTTGATTCTGATTCGCCTGATCAAATGTGGAATGTTTCTGAGGAAGAACGGAGAAAATCTCCCACATCCAGATTTTCAAATATGACTGAGATTTATTCAGCCACAGGTGGACCAGCGTACTGGCCTAAAGGGGTGTGAACATTTATTTATTTATTTATTTATTTATTTATTTTTTATTTTTTTGCAAATTCTTGTCCCAAAACCCAAATTATATTAATCACAGTTTCATTTTTTCAAAGCAATTAGAGGCTGAAGCATACAAGTGGGGCAAATACTTTTTCTATACAGTAAATTAATAAACAGGCTTGAAAAGTAAACATCAAAAATGAATTCAAGAGTATGAAAGTTTCTCAAAAAATGTTTTCTCTTCACTTTTTAAGCATTTTAACAACTATTCAATCATATAAATCAGTTCTGAATATTTTATATAATACAATTGTCAAATTTATGTCACACATTTCCTAATGTTCAATTTGACATCTTCTTATTTTTTCTTCCTTATTTATTTATTTATTTATTTTTATTCTGATCTGTGGATTTTAAGGAATACTCAAAGAGTATTGTAAGATTGTTTTCCAAATAGATACCTTGCATAAATGTTTAACTTAAAGGATGTGTGGGAAATTGAGAAGAGCTTCAAATTAAATAATGGTGAAAGATGGTGTTTGAATACATGATGCTGTGCAGCAGCCAGATCCCTTCTCACGGCAAACCACCTCGAAAATGATCTGAATCAACAAACAATTAATGTCTTGCAAAAGTATTCATAACCGACAAACTTTTCCGCATTTGGTATAATTCAACCATAAATCATTTGTGCACTTTATTTGGACTTTTGTGATGCACCAACACAAGGTACCACATAGCTGTCAAGGAAGATGATACACTCAGTGATTTGTTTATAGGACACGAGTGAACAAAAAGCATCACAAAGTCCAGGAAAATAGGATATAAATCGAAAACCATGCGTCTGTCCAGCTTTCAGTTATACGCTATGCTTTGTGTTGATCCATCATATAAAATCCCAATAAAATACCCTGAATTTAGAAATGTGACATATGAAAAACTTGAAGGAGTAAGAGTACTTTTGCAAGTTCAACCAAACCAAGATCAAGACAAGAGACACATTTTCTTGATTGGACAAAAGTCATTAATTTGTTGGTTTTGAAGTTGTAGATGTGGGTTTTAAGTAAATTATGTGTTACCTTTCAGGTGATTTGAACCTTAAGAGGAATCTGGTCTTTCATGTGTTGACATAAAACACAAATACGGCATGCTTAAGAACAACAGCTACTATCATATATCTATTTTTTTTTTTTTTTACAAACTTTTTGCACACCAAAACAGGTTCACTCATCAGAAACATTGTTAAAAAGCATAGAGCAGAGCAGGAACATCTGTAAATCTTAATAAGACAAAAACAACCAAATTAAGGGCATGGATGTGTGGTTAGACAGTTTGTCAGAACAGATGGCTCGCCTCCTTCTTAAACATGCACACCTCTGAATTTGTAGGATTAGTTGGGGATGCTTCAGAAAGAAAACATGAAAAAAAAAACCACACACACACACACAAATATAAAACCATGACTGAAGTAAAAGAGGTGGATAATGGAAACAAGATGTGAAATTTTAGTAGCTGTGATGACTTGAAAGAAAATGACAGGAGAGCCACAGAGAGTTTAGAGGAGGGAAACACCTGAAGAAAGAGAAACAAGTTACAAAAAAAAAACACAGGATCTGAAGCTGCCTCAAAAAAAGAAACTGCACCAATACGTTGCTTTGTTTGTACCACATTAACAGGATGTGTACGGAGCAGACTATCCAGACACTTATTTAATTAATTGAACTCATCCTTGAAGGAAAGGTGTAGTTTTGAGGCAACTTGGATCCCCACAGACTTATTTCATGCAGGTGGTTATATTTTTTGTTCAAACAGGGAAGACGTTAGTAATGGTAGTAAGGTGGTCGGACCAGCAGGTGGCACTCTTCTCTTCCTTTTAACACACCCGATGTGTAATGGCTCAGTTCAGGAAGATGTGAGACTAACCAAAGGAAATGAATTCGTAAAGGTGACGGCTCCTTTAGCCTCGCAGACCTGAACAGAATGTTAAATAACTAAAGCTGCAATTTTGTGTGTCTGTGTCTTTCTTTCTGAGTTATTTTTGGGAATGCAGATTTTGGCCTAGATTTCAGGATTTGTTTTTCTAAGGATTTCTCTCAGCAATACTAAGTTTAAGACATCCGGTCCTGGAGGATCAAGGAACTGACTTGATTAAATCCACAGGGGATTAAAACCAATTGTACTGCCGTGTTTTGCTTTGCTGCTTAGGACGTTCTTTAACTGTGAGCTAAACCAAAGTAGTTGCACAAGACAATAAGGTCTTAGAAAAATAACTAGACATTAACTCCATATCAGATTTGCAAAACATTTTCCTAGTAAGGTTGTTACAACTGGGTCTGGACAAAATGTCTTCACGTTTAATTTTCAACTAAACTTTTACAAAGGTACTACTTTAATAAAAGAGCCAACAGCTTCTGTCACAATGTGATTTAGACTAATCAAAAAAAGTTTTGTTTTCTCTAAGATGGAAATGTTAGCATTTAGCTTGTTAGCTAGTGAGGACTACATACACAGAAAATAATGCCCTAATGTTTAATTTTCAGTTTAATTTTCACCATTTCAATAGTTTAATAAATCAATCTAATTTATTCAAATATAGCTTAACTGCAAACATTTACCAATTTCAGCTTGTTTCAAATGTTTCTCAGCATTTTAGCTTGTTAGCATTTAGCTAGTTTGCTTAGTAGAAATTAGTGCTTAACAAAATGTCTCAATGTTTCATTTTCAGCTCGTATTTTCATCAAAAAATATTGTTTATATCAATAACCAATTGTTTAAATCAGAATATGTGATTTCAGTGCATGTTGATAATATAAATGTTCTCATTTTTTCTGATGTTAGAAACCCTTCAGTCAGTTAACTTGAAGATACGCCATCTGCGACTTTAAGACTGAAAAATATAGAAATTCATTTCACCAAATATTTAAATTTGGGTATTCATGTATATGTTATTTATTGCCATTAATTTTAGAGGACTCAAATCTAACTAGGCTTGTCACCATTTAACTATTACTCTTAGTTTTGGAAAAAAAAGCGTCTTTCTTTTTTTAAAGTAAATTTTTAACCGTATAATAACTGTTGTGCGTTGATTTTGTGTCCTGCCTGTCAGATGTTTCTGGTTGTTCTGGTAGTTACCGGGAGGACCCCGCTGGTCCGACGGCGGGTCTGGCGGAGCCAGTGCCGTGCGAAGGCATGCCAGCGGTGAGTGGGGCGGCGGGGGGGAGGGGGTTCATTAGGGGGTGCGGGGCTTTCGGGGCACGGGAGTCCCACCGATGCCTCCTCTCCTTTATCCTGCTGTGTTGCAAAACAACAAGCACAACAAGGTGGTTACTGGGCAACAACTAAGTCAGGCAGATTGGCAACATACAGTCAACATAAAACATGATGTCTATAATTCACATTTTCTTTCTCTAATGCTTGTGCAGATCTCCCAAAATGCTCTTGGTGAGCTTCTTGTCCTTTAAATGTCCAAGGAAGAAACATCTTGTCCCATTTCATTATAGCTCTTCTGTTCCTGTGTCACCAGAAAGGTCAGGCTAAAGATTTGCAGGCCTCTTCTAATTAGAGTAGAGGAACAAGTGGTGGGTCTTGATCAAACTTGGAATCGAAAGCAACAATAAACCAGGAATCTGCTCCATTCATGCCTTGCTAAAATGTACTTTGCACCAATGATAGTTATGGAAACTTAAAAAAAAATAAAAAAAACTTAATATTTCATCACAATTTTTACTCGTGAACTTTTTTTGACAGTTTCATTTGTCCTGCAATGTGAACAGGAGCACAGCATCCCATTTGTCCTATCTGATCAAATATTTTTTCGTCAATCTCAATCCAAACATTGTTTTCTTTTCCCATGCCGACTGAATGAAGAACTTGTCGGACATTAATGGTTGTGGGTTTTACCACCATCTTGTGCAACCAGCAATCACTCACTGCTTTTAAAGGTCACCTGTCCTGCAGGGCTGCAGACTTTAAATAAGCAGTGAGAGGCATCAGAGTGTGTGCTTGAGCAAAAGGGGTCATTCATAGAATAAAACAGCGGCTAGTCAAGTCATGCAACATGTAACCGGAGCAATGAGGCAGCAATCAATGGCATTCAATATTTACCAACAGAGAGTTATAATGAGCAGGCCTAATGACCTTTCCAGCTGATCAATTGTGGTTTTTGAGATTTGTACTAATGGAGAACATATTCTGTTTCTTCCCATTAAGAGACGGATCTCCTATATCACCTCGATGAATCATATTTCTGACAAAGAGAGTCACAGCTAAGCCATCGCATTAGTCAGCAAAACTAAAGTTGGCAAAAGGAGACAGAGTTGCTTTACTGGGACGTAATTTTCTTTCTTTTATTCCTCTCCATCGCGGGCTGTTAAAGACTGTTTAGGCGTTTCTCATCCAGCTTATCTGAGTCCTTATTTTAAATCAAGCAACTTTTATCTCCACAGTTGAAAAGAATAATAACCACGTCACTTTACTTTGAAATTGTTGTTAGAAAAGCTTCAAGATGCAATTAACGGTGTGCTTTCCAGGCACATATCTTGCCTCTTCGAGTCACTTTTGCATCAGAGAAGTCTCCAGCATTTTCATCATTCCTGCATCAAGAGGTATTCAAGAGCCCCTGATTTAGCCTCAGCCTCTACCTGTTGCTTATTCAACGGGTAAGTGGCCTGGAATAAGTGGTGTTTATGTAATCGTCTCTGCCTATTCTCTTTTCTTTTTTGTCTTTCAATCCCTCAGTCTCTTTCTCTCAAAGCTTAAATGAGCTCTCATGTTCTCACAGTGTTGTTATGGTTGGATAGAGTTCATTAATTTCCTCCTCCGCTGGTAAACAGGCCCATTGTCTAATTATAAGCCATCACAAATAATGAGCACAAACATCTCAGTCTTAATATGCCAAGAGTTTTTAGAAGCCCTCACTAATGGCATTTGGATGCCCAGACAGGAGGGCAAATGGCAACAAAAACACATGCAAATGATAAACATGGTGGACTAACCATGTCTGCATCTGCTCCTCTTTGCTCCAGCAGCAGGGGCTTCTCTTCTGTGATCTGCTGTTCCTTCATCCCTGCCATCCTGGACAACAACCTGCAATCGTAAATTCAACGTGGAATAAAAGAAAAAAAACACAAAACAAAACATAAGATTACTTTCTGTGTCAAAGTCTATGAAAAAACAAGTCATCGTCTTTTTATGTACATATCACACAATTGCATATCCGCCCAAACATTTTTTAATTGACACAACTTCTCTGTTCTAAACATGCAGCTAAGCAAGACAGGTTGAAAAACTCTGTAGCATGAACAACACACCTTAGAAGCAGCACACAAGCTATGAATATGCATCACTTCTATGGGATTTGCTCAAATGTTGCATAATTTACCCCGAAATAACATGACTTGATTTCATGCTGCACTATGCAGATGTTCAGTCTGCGCCACTGAGGGTTCACTCTCTGCAGTATATACTGGATATTTAAAGGAGCTCCAACAGGAGAGAAGTCCAACCCATTTTCTGACTAATTTGATAAATACATATTTAGCCACTTGGGGGCACTTATAGACAGGGAACAAATCATTAAACCTTCATTCCAAGATTGAAGAATCACAAACAGAAGAGGGAAATAAAAATCATAGTGACATCTTGGCAAAGTAACTTTCTCTTTCCTGACACAGTGACATACTGTTAATCTTACACTTATGAGCCTTATAAAAATGCATTAAATAAAACAAATAATATGTTTTGATTTTTATTAAATACACTTAATTTATTCATAGCTTTCAGATGTGATTACCAAAAATTAGGTTTGACAAATCTTTGGTAATCACTCTTGAAAAAAGAAATCCATAATTGCACCAAAATTATGTTCCAGAAGTTCAAAAATGATGTTCAGAAGCTTTTGAGCGGGCTTATGAAGCCCTCTCAAAAACCCGTCTATGTGGGATGCTTCTGATAACAGAGACAGATTTAAAATGGGAGCTGACATAGATGCTTACTGACCGAGATTACTCGGTTTACAGTGGAGCTCGGACACACACGGGCTATTTTTCCAAAGATAATACGAGTGCTGAGCCTCGATAAAAGCCCTAATCAGAACGGAGTGTTGTGGTTTAACACGGAGCTGATACGGCGCTCCACGCAGTGTACACCAGGCACATCAACGCACGCCAAAAACGAGGTCAGACAGCAATAATACAACAACAGTGCCAGTTCATGACATCAGTCCACCAACGCAGAAACACAGAGTAGCGTGACTACATTGATACAACCAGGGGCTTCTACTGCTTCAGAGGGTAAGCAGCCTAAATGCTCCATGTTCAAACTGCAAAATGTTACCGCAAAACCATTTTTGTTTTGTATTAAGTAACATTCTCAGGACAACTACACCTCCTACTTGATGTTAGGTAGATAAATGGACACAAACGTCCAGGTGACACATGCTGACACATCCAGGTGACACATGCTGACACATTTTAGGTATTTTCAATACCTAAAATATAGGTATTTTAAATATAGGTATTTAAAATATAGGTATTTTAAATTTACCTATATCAAAGGTATAGAACCATGCAAATGCTACTGCTATAAAAGTCTTTCTCTGTGACTCTTGATAATTTTACTGTGCATAAAATTATGTAAATAAGAAACAGGGCATTTCAATTATAATCACTGGAGGTGGAGCTAAACATTTTTTTGTTTTAATTTACAAATAAATTCATGTGTAGTTTCTGCATGAAGAACTTCACCATAAAATATTAGGTGACAGAATAAAAGTCTAAATCTGTACTATAAATTACATTTGATATCAAATATAAGGATGTGTTTAAATAATACATTTATGAAGAATGATTTTGCAATCAAGATGCATGAATATATTATACAACCCTTAAAATATTTTAAGATTGCTTATATCAAACTTATATTTTTTTCATATGTTTGAAAAGAAAATTACATAAAAATATGTTGTTGTTGTTTTTTTACATTTAAATCTGAAATATTGATATATACAAATGTGTTTATTTTAATTTATTTCTGGATAGTTCTTTCATATTGAACTGATTAAAATCTGTTTTGTTTGCTCCCTAACAGCTCTGATAAATGAATTTGAAGAGGGTTAAGCAGTCCTAAAACACTGTTAAAACATTAAGGATATCTCTATAATATATTAGTGGAAATTTTACTCTCAGCTATCAAGGTAAAATATGAACATTAACTTGGAAGTGAGAGAAAACGCAGATATAAAACAACCAAAAAAAACGTCTGCGTCTGTTAATCATTCCTTCCTCTTCCTCATGTCCTCCCTCGTTCCCTCCAGCAGTCATTCAGCTTTATCTCACTGGTTTTATCAGACACTCTTAAGAAGACAAAGCACAGATGCCAGTTACATTCACTTTTAGCAGCTGATGAAGAGTGGTTTTGTCTCTATAACGCTGCAGTGTCAGATTTATTGCTGAAAAGGGCTAGAGATGACTCACTGCAGCTCAGTCTTACCAGGTGCATGTTCTCGCCGTAAGCATTACCATTTACCGTGTTGTGACGGTAACTCGTGAGCATGTTTTCTCCTTCCTTCTGTTTATCACCTCTCTCTCTTTCCGTCTCCCTCTCGTCATGACCAGTTTATTAAATGGGTCAGTGTGACCTTCTGCAGTCACTGGAATGGAGCCATGAGGGGAAAAGAACCCAAACAATACCGCCTATGGTCCAGTTACCCCATTCTTACTGCTGATACAACTTGTGGCACATGTTTACTTTTTACTGTTTGCTGGACTAAAATCTGAAATCTGTAATTGAAATACTTTAGAAAGAAAAAATGTCCCAGGTTGATTTCTAGAAACCAGAGAACACATTAAGGACAGATTTTCCAGAAACTCTCGTAAAAACAGAAATTATGAGTGTATTGATGGTCTTCTATACCCATGTAATTCTATGCATAATTGTGAGGTAATAGGGGCTACATGAGCCCTACAGGTAGACTACACCATAGGCCAGATTGCCAGTCCATTAAATCAACAAAACATAGCTGAGCCAAATAACTAAGTAATTTAGAGTTTCCAATTTGTCAAACTTACAGGATTCTTGACTGTGAAAATGTGAAATCAGCCAAGAGCAACCACATCAAGAAAGGATAGTCCGGGGTCACCAACTCCAGTCCTCGAGGGCTACCGTCCTGCAACTTTTGGATGTGTCTCTGCTCAAACACACCTGGATCAAATAAACTGCTCATTTCCAGCCTATTGCAGAGAGGAACGAATGCTGGTGAAGAAATTCAGACATTTTGGACCAGAGGTGAATCTAAAAGTTGCAGGATGGTAGCCCTTGAGGACTGGAGTTGGCGGCCCCTGGATAGATATACCCTAGACCAGTGGTGTCCAAAGTTGGTCCTCAAGGGCCGGCATCCTGCATGATTTAGTTCTCTCCCTGGTTTAACGCTCCTGGATCAAATGATGGCTCGTTAGAAGAGGAACATTGAGATGCTGAGAAGGTTGTTACTACCACCAGGGAGAGAACTAAAACATGCAGGATGCCGGCGCTTGGGGACCGACTTTGGGCATCACTTCCCTACACCAGGGGTCCTCAAATCTAGACCTCGAGGGCCGGTGTCCTGCAGGTTTTAGAGATGGCTCTGCTTCACCACACTTGAGTAAAACAAGCAGACCTCTGGAGAACCCGGCTGCACTGCGGAGGTAATTCAGCCATGTGATCGAAGTGTGTTGAACCAGGGACACATCTAAAGGTTCCAGGACCCCGTCCCTTGAGGCCTGGATTAGAGGACCTCCACCCTACATTGTGAACTCTTGGGTATGAACTTCCTCAGTCTTGCTTAGCTTGACTCGATGTCATGAGATGAGAAAATGTCAAATCCAGTCATTTGAGACTTGACTTGGGCAAATGATGTTTGCATTTTGTGAGCAATCTCAATCCCTTAATGACTGATTTCGACTTGGCCCTGAATGACTTCGGGCTGTTTTTTTTTTTTTTTTTTGGTGTTTCCTCACAAAGACCTTGAACATCCATTTCCAAATCACAATTCTGCAAAAGATTCATATCATCTTGATTTGGACCATACAGAGATGGACATGCTGGTGCACTTGGATCATCAGGTCACAAACTGATAGTGTATCACCTTATAATGTAAAAACTGATTATTATAATCAAGTCTGAGCATTGACCACTTTGTTCTAGCAACTATGTTTTTGCTAATGTCGAAAGAATAAACATATAATTTGCATTGTGCCTGCTGATTACTCCTAGGCATTCTCATTGTTATGTTCCTGTTTTGTTTCTGCTTCTTTTGTTTCTCTTCCAAAGCTTTATGTCTTCTGTTTGACATTGTGCTTTCCCCCCCCCCAAATCCCTGCTTCTCTGTCTCCAAGCATCTCCTCCTTTTATCTTCACAGGCTTTGACATTTTACCTCTCCTTCTGTCACTCCAACATCTCTGTCTTGCAGCTGCCCTCTCTCACTTTCAGTGCTTTGCTTTCAGTTTTTCTTCTTTCACACCTCATCTCATCCTACCATATCTGCTTTTCTCCAGCCGGTCTCATTGCTTTTTTTTTTTTTTTTAGGCCTTACTGTTATGTGGTTATGTAAGACGTCAGATTTTAAAATCAATTAGTGTTGCATTTTATCAGCTATATTTGGAATCATGACGCCAGTGTTGATGGTGGAAAAATACTGCTCCGGGCTTCTCGTGTGGCTTGTCCGGTGACAACCAGACTCATATTATCAGCAAATTATGATTTTGTTTTGTAGCAAATACCTTTCTTTAACACTCATGACTGCAGAAAGGCTTGCACCGAAATGATATTTGGAAAGAACATCATTTGTTCCTGGAGGAATTTAAAAAAAAATGTACTGAACATTCACTGATTTTAACCTATTTCTACTATTTTCCTTTAAAATGTAATGATTACTGCGACCTTATTCATTTTCCAAACAATTAACAGCAGTTCCCTGTTTTAATGTTAAATTGAAAGCTGCGCAAAAGACAAAAAATAAAGATTTTAAAAGAGTTCAGATAGGCTTAAGGTTAATTATTTTTAATTCATAATCTATAACAATGCTGTGTTTCAGGCTGACTGGATAACA